GATCCCAGAGTTTCTCGCGAGATTACTGATTCGCGCGGCGATGGAATCGCGTTCGATCTTTCGATCCGGATACGGAAGGTCGACGGTATCGAGTCGAATCTTGCGCCAGCGACGGCTACCAAGATCCCACGGTTATCGCGGCAGAAACTGTCGGACCGTTCCGTTGTTTGGAATCTTGACCTTTACACGGCTTCCGAATGTAAATTCGCAGGCTCTCTATAGCGCATCGATTTTTCCGATAACGAAGCGTGCCCGACTAGAAGTCGCGGCGGAAAGCGTAGCAGGCGAGCGAAACACGACCAGCGGAAGAGGGGAGCTTGCGATCTTAGAACCGACGATGAGACGCGAAACGCGGTGGAAGAATATACGTACGGACGTGTGTACGTGTACGCTCGGTGTAGAGCGTAGAGCGTAGAGCGGAGAGCGGAGAGCGTACAGTGCGAGAAGGTTTCAGAGAAGGCAAGCACGGTTCGAGCGCAGCCTTGAACCGACGCTCGATAACGTCATCGTTTACTATTAGTACGAGTTACCACATTACAGTTTATACGCGACGACGCGACGACGCGACGACGTCGAAACCTCTTAACCGTAGTCGAGTTACGTTTCTCCGAGCTGTTTCCAGCATCTTGGCTACTCCGCAAGATTATTTCTCGAAACATCGGTAAATTCGAGTTTCCTCGTCTTCTTCGACTTTTCTAGTCGACCTCGAAGCTGTTCGAGCGTTCGAACACCTTCCTCCGAACGGTGTCGATTCCGAGTGATTTCGTATTCTTCGACTTTCGTGCTCGATTTCGAAGCTATACAAACGTCGTAACACCTTCCGGTTACGTGCTTGACTTTTTACAAGTGTCTCGGACGCGAACGATCGGACGATTCCGCCGAAAATTTCACGAAACCTACCGTACCGATCGCACGGTGATTAGCGAGCGCATTCGCAAACCGTTCGCGGTTCGAATGCGCCGGTCTCTCCCCGGATCTTTGTTACAGCAGCGGAACAACGCGAGAACGAATTCGCGTCGCGTTCTCGTTCCCGTTCCCAGAGATCGTTTATCGGCGCTCGTCGAGATTAACGCTGACGCAATACTCTGTTTTTAAACCGACGACTAAAATCTTCGAATGGGAATAACATACCGGAATTTTCTAGGTCGGAGAGATCGCGCAAGATCGACGAAATTCGACGCGTCGATCCACGAGACACCCACCGACGATGTAACTTTTTTAAAGCGTGCGGCGACCTTAACCTTCCAGTCTTTCTCGACACCGCCATCGTTCGTCTTATCCGTCTCGAGATTCGACTCGCCGACTCGAATCGACGTCGGCGCCGTTCTCGGCAAAATTGCCGATTCCGCCGATCTTGGAAAAATATTTATCGTTCGAAGAACCCGTCGGATATCGTCGGCTGTTCGTATCGTAGATACGCGTATTATTTACGTTGCCGAAACAACGGCAGCACGACGTAAAAATATCTTGAACCGTCTATTTTGAAATATTCGAAGCCACGTTTTCCTCGTCGAGAAAATACTCGAATTATTTCTGTCGTATCGAACGCGTGCCAAGCAACGATAAGATTCGCGAAACCGAAGCGTTGCTTCGACGAAAACCTGAAAACCTGAAAACCTGAAAACCTGAAAACGCCCCGACCCCGAAAAAATGGCGACCGGGCCGGCCGCGGCGGGGCGCGACGCGCAGCCTTTTCACGCTGTAACAACGATAACTCGAGGCGCCTCGAGCTTCGACGCGTTCGACGGGTGCTTTTCCAGCCCGTTAGTCGTCGTCGCGTGAAATCGTAGAATCTAGGATCACGATCGAGCCTGTAGAAAGACGCTTCCGCGGTCTCGACCGCGACCGTCGTATCGCGAGTAGCGAGTATCGAGTGACCATCGACGCCGTACGTGAACCGAACGTTCGTGTTCGCGTTCGCGTTCGCGTTCGTGTCGTGCTCGTGCTCGTGGTCGTACGTCGTTGCTCGTTATCTCGACCGAACAGGCTTCATTCGACTCGTTCACGGAAAACGGAGGAACGGAGGAACGGACGGAACGGACGGAACGGACGGAACGGTTCGTTGGCCCGGTTCGCCGCGATCGAGCGATCGTCCGCGTACGCCGCACGAGCAGGCGAAACTCCTCTACACCCTACACACCGTACGCTCCACGCTCCACGCTTCGCAGGAGGAACAAACGCGCGCGCCAACGTCCGCGAAGCGAATTCCCTGCAACTTTGCTGTCCGAACGAACTTTAAATTCTCTGGGAAACCTCAACTTTTATCGTCGCGTCCGCGTCTCCGTCCCCTTCTCTCCTCTTCCTCTCCGCCTACTCGTCCCTCCCAATCTTCCCGCTTCCCTCGCTTTCGAACGAGATATTTCTTCGTCTCGTCGGTTCCCGTTCGTCGCTTACGCTCGGCACGGACTTTTCGAACGCGCCGCGCTAACATTTTCCTTCGTCGATTATTTTTACTCGAAATTCCTACTCGATTTCTACTTCGCCGGTTTTACTCTTCGTACACGGGACCTCGCGTTCGCCAGCGACGTCGGTGTAATCTTGCGAAGAAAAATCGTAGGACGGTACTCTGCCCGAGCTCGCGAGACCGTCGACGAATCCGCGTTACCCGAAGAAACGTCTGGGTAGACAAATTTTCAAACTTCGACGCGAGCTCGATGGAATTTTCGCAAAACGTTGAACGAGCGTTTTTTCGACGCGTTCGCTCGACGAAAAATTTCGCTTTCGGTCGTTCTAAAATTATAAAACGCTCGACATAGGGTCGAGACGTTCGACGGTAGCGACAGATTCGAGCAGTCGAATAAAACAACCGACACGAATTTAGACGGCGAACCGTTCGAACGAGCAATTGCGACCGTGGCCGTGAGATCTGCCTTGCCCACCGACCTATCTTCCCGGTTGGTCCAACGCTGAACGCTAAACGCTAAACGCTATACGCGAAACGCGAAACGCGAAACGCGAAACGCGAGACGCGAAACGGAAACGCGAAACGCTATACGCGAAACGCGGAACACGGCCGAGCGTGGGCAAACGCGATTATCGAACGCGAACCGCAAATTGACGTAATCGATCGAAACGGAAGACAAAGCACGTGCCTGTTCCGCCGGCTTCGACCCCGTGTCTCGTATCATCGACACGATAGAGAAATCTGCGTTCTCTTCTCTTATTATTTCTTGTTTCGCGGCCAGCAATTACCGCGAACGACGAAAACAATTCCAAGCCCAACCCCGTCCGTCGCCTTACGGGGAATCAACGACGATAAAGCAGCGCGGCTTGGCATTCGATAAAAGGCTGATAAAGAGGTCACGCGTCACGCGACAATTCTGCCGACCTCGGTCGACCGCGCCGCGCGACGCGACCCTCGCCAACGTTCCTCTTCGTCACTTTTTTTCGCTCAGTTTCGTTTCGGTTAAGCAACCTGGAATCGTCCAAGTTACCGTAGACGACGTCGCGGTGGCGAGCGGTATTCCGATATTCCCAGGCACGAGTGTTTTTTGGGATACGCGTGGCGCTCGACGGCGATCGTCGAAGCCGCTTCGCGACGCGGGATCGGATACGCGATCGTTGGAGCGTGCTCTCGCGTCATCCGTTATCAGCCCCATCGTTGCATCGCGGGGAGTCGCTTCTCGCTTATCCAAGCCCGCGGGGATAGACCACCGATCGCGTCGCGAGACGGGAAAAAGGAGAAAAAAGAGACTTCGTTGCTCCGAAGCGACGAGATAGCCCTTGGCCGAGAAAAATTGCACCCGCGAATTGCTGACGCTCGACGAAGTGCTCGACGGAGCATGGAATAACTATCGATCGCGAAAATGCGAGGTTCCATGACCGCGGTGGTTGGTCCGGCGACTTGCGAATTAAAAAAATATCGTAAGAAACGTGTCGACGCGACGCGAAATCGTTGCCGGAAACCGTGCGGCATCGTTTAGCCGAATTAAACGCGCCTCGACGCGGAGCCGACGTTCGCCGGTGTCCAGAAAATTGTTCTCCGTACGATGGGAAAGTTGTTTTCGCGGGCGAGCAGATTTCCGCTTCGAATTGCAAATCATCCGACCGAAACTCGATATTCGTCGAAACAGAGATATATCACGGTCTACCGTGAATCGAACTCTCCCAGAGTTCGAATCGAGGAAGAAACGAAATGTGCTTCGCGGGCCATTTCGCGCGGCAGAAGATAAATCGCGATGTCCGAATCCCAGTCCCTGACCCAGTCCCTGCCCCGTCCTCGCGTCGCGAGCCGAGGTTCGAACGAGATATAATTTCGTTCGAATTTCTACGGTGTACGATCGACGATCGTTTTCGGAGCGTTTCGTGTCGGGAGAGACTAACAAGATTTCTCGACAACGATCCAACTTTCGGCGCTGGGTAATTCGAAAGACGAGCACGACGGAGATTACGAGTCGCGAATAAAGCAAAACGCGGAACGAGAAAGCGAACTTCCGTTTCGAAATTCGTCCGAATTTTAGAAGCTGCGGTGAGATAGCGACATTTGGCGCAACGAACGATAGCCTTTTTCCTGCGAAGACGGTGGATGGTTCGAGCTCGGTGTCTCAGAATCTTCCGGAGCAGGACAAACGGAGCGAATCGATATCGTCTCCTGTGTGCCCCCGTCTCGATCCTACTTATTCCTTCGAGAAGTTTTACGCTATCGACGCGGTCGCTGTCGCTGTCGCTGTCGCTGTCGCGGTGACGTAACTCGTAACGATTCTATACGAGAAATAACGCAACGTTTCAAACGTCTGTCGCAGAATGGTGAAATAAGCGAGCCAACGTTTCCACGACAATTTCCACTTATCTACCGATTTTTGTAAATCATATTTCGGGCGACCTCTCGATCGAAAGCATCATCATCGATTCCTCGACGAAGGTGTCGCAGCCCGAGGAGTCCGCGCCCCCTTAAGGATCGCGCGTCGACTCGGTGATTCGAGAATCGAGAATCGAGAATCGAGAATCGAGAATCGAGAATCGAGAATCGAGAATCGAGAATTTAAAATGGAGAGAAGCACCTTTGATCGCGACGATGTGTGCGTCGTACTCGCTCTTGCTGCGCACGAACTCGATCCTGGAGGCGTTTTGGAAGCCTCTCGCGGCGCGATACTCGGTACGCCATTCCGGGGTTCGATCGTCGGGTCCGAGATGCTGCAGGGGGCTGCTGCCCCTCCTCTGCGACAGACTCTCCTCGGACGGGAATCTGGTGAACGAGGCGACCGAGCTGGACTTGCTGGCGTGGCCGGTCTCGTCGCGGCCATGGCCGTGGCCGTAGCCGTGGCTCTGGCTCTGGCTCTGACTCTGACTCTGATAAGCGGAATCCTCCAGGGTGTGCTCGTCGCTGGGAGTCCTGCTGGTTTCGGCGAGCAGCCGATGCGACACGCCGCCGATCATCTCCCGAACGCTTTTCCTAACGGTGATCTTCTCGAACTTGACCACTTTGGCCCCGTTCAGCTCGCCCTCCTCGACCAGCCTCTCGAAGCTCTCCTCGAACGAGGAGTCCCCGGTCCTGGACAGGGCCAGCTTCGGATTGCCGGCCAACCTGAACTGTCTCCTCGACTCGGCGCCTTGGAACAGCTCTTGCTCGAAGAAGCTGATCCGGTCCTGCAGACTGCCGCCACGTGGTGTCCTCGGGCTGCCGGGACTGGCCCGGCTGTCGGCCCGGCTGTCGGATCGGCTGCCGGCCCGGCTGCCGGCCGGGCTGTCGCCGGCCGCGCTGTCGCCGGCCGCGCTGCCGTACGGGCTTCCGGTTCTCGGCGGCGTCGACATGCTACAGGAGGGTTCCCCTCCTGGGCCAATCCGCTCGGCTCGCCGTCGAAGCCGTGGGACGAGTAGCTCGCAGAGACAGAGGCAAAGACAGAGGCAGAGGCAGAGGCAGAGGCCGGTTCTCCGGTCTCCGTCCTAGCGGCAACCGCTCCGGTCGAAACTCATGCCGTGCCCGTCCGCTTCCGGCCTCTGCTCGTTTCACGGTCGGGCTGCGCTCGCGGACACCTGCTCTCCGCACACCACACCCTTCGAGCACCACCACCGCCGTCGTCGCCGCCGCCGCCGCCGCCGCCACGCGCATCGGCAGCCGGAGAGCCGCGCGTTCGTCGTCCGACGCGAGCCACGCACACTTTTTCGCAAACGCACAGGGGACCGTGGACGTATCGAGGAACGGGGGGAGAGGGTCGACCGCGATCGTTCGGTTTCGCTAATCGCGAGCACCAGCCTCGCGTGGCTCAACGCCGTCGGTCGACGTCGAGTATATGCGATACGCGATACGCGTTCAACTATCGCTCACGGAATGCACTCCGACTCCGACTCCGACTCCGGCTCCGGCCGCGCGCAGTACGGCCGCCGGTTCGATATTGGTGCCTCTCTTCTCTCTTCTCTCTTCCCGACCTCTCTCGCCGGGTCCCCACCTCGTTCCGCCATGCGGTACCCTCTCGACCCCCTGTCCCCCTCCGCGGTCCGTCCGTTCTCCTTATCCACGATCCGCATTGCACGATCACGGGGACAACCGGCACCGCACGATTACGACTCGCGACCGCCGCGCCGGGACCGGTCGCGATCACGGATTCCCCGTGTCGCCTCGCCCCCCGTCCGTCTCGCCGAGCCTCGCCGAACCTCGCCGCGCCACGCCTCGCCTTTCCTCGCCTTTCCACGCCTCGCGTCTAACGACGTCGCGATCGCGGCGAAATCTGCCCGCGCCCCGTCGTCGACGTCAGCGTCGACGTCGGCGGGCGGCTCGTCCGGCCACCGCCGGCTTTTACCGGCCCTCTCGTTCCAACCAACGCACCTCGGGTATCAACGATCCAACCTTCCTGATGGCGGAACACGCCGGCCGGGGTCGCCCGATCGATGCTTTTATCCTGCGTCCTTCTCCAAAGGCTGACGCGCGACTCGCGACTCGCGACGGGAGGCGAGCGACGGGCGACGGGCGACGGGCGACGGGCGACGGGCGACGGGCGACGGGCGACGGGCGACGGACGACGGGCGACGGGCGACGGGCGACGGGCGACGGGCGACGAGAGACGGCCGACGAGAGACGGGAAATGGAAAGCGGAGAGTCTGCTCGCGAAATGCCGCTACGCCCGCGAAACGTTTGAACCGGGCCGACCCTGTCCACTGGGATTCTCTCGAATCGATCTACGCGACGATCGTTCGTGGCAGATCTTAGAGATTGGTCCGGCGAGTCGACCAACCGACAATTCGACGATCTTCGAGATGCTAAATTAGGGAATCGTTTAATGTCGGGCCAAGTATGTATCTGGCTGGTCGGAGCTGAATTGATTTTCGGCTCAGAGTCCGATACCTTCCATCTCGTCGTGTAACCTCGCTCGTTCCGGATCCCCCGCGAGAGATTCGAACGAAATGGGTGCTCTCCGGGAGTGGTTCCTCGGGCGATCGTTTTCGCGAGCAGCGAACAAGTTCGAGGTAGAGAGGTAGCGAGGTAGCGTGGTAGCGACCGAATCGTTTGTTCGTGCGCGAGACTCGTGATAGCTGTAAATTGCACGCGCGAGTTTAGGAATTCTTACGAACGCGCAGTCGCTGCACAGCTTCGATTCGTCGAGTCGATTTTAATCGATTTCGAATCCGGATCCGAGCAGCCGGCTCTTCCGAATAATTCTACGCAAGAATCCGATCGAACGATCCGTCGACCGAATAAACTAAGATCAAGGCCGGCGGATGTCCGCGCCGTCGTCGCATTCGCGTCGAGACAAACTGTGATTTATTTAACCTTTTTCGAAGCATGTATCGGATACGAATTCTTTTCTTCGACGACGGCCGATAACAGGACGGAGTTTATTCGTTTTCGAAGCGTCCGGCGTTCGATAAGATCGATCTTTATCGACGAGGTCGCGCGACGGAGAAAAGTAGGCGAGCGAAGAAAGGAGCGGGGGAAGGAAGAAGCCGGTGGAAGAGAAATCTTCCGAGGGACGATCGAAGAAGACCCCCGCGCGCCGAACTCGATTCTCTCGAGGATGTTATCGACGTTGAAAAGATGAAATCTTCGAGAGATAAAAAGAGACGGGAAAGAAAGGGAATCGCGTAGCCGATTCGCGAACGTTTCGAGCACGGATCGATCGGTCGATGGAAATAGGAATTTAGAAAACACAAACAAAGGAATAACGGACGACGATGCGACGCGCTCGAAAAGTTTAATCGAAAGGCAACGTCGATACGATTTTTTCGCGTTCGAAACACACCGCCTTCGTCTTCTGGTCGGAACGCGTAATCGCGTTTACGCCGACACGCGAGGAGATTAAAATTCCTGGAAAAATAAACGCTTCGAAGTTTAAAGATTCGCGACGAGCGTTCGATCGAAAGCGCTTGTTTCGCGGAATTCCAACGTTCGCTTGCCCGAAACTTCCAAGTTCGAGCTTCGTGCTCCGCGAGATTCGCGGAGGAAACACGCGTTTCGGAAAGTTTGTTCGGGGCGATTCCCGGTCGAACGACGTTTGCGAAATAAAAATAACGGAGTTGCGACGTCGTTCGCGGAACGGCGCGGTCCGTAGGACCGGCTCTCGCCCGTTATCGGCGGTACCGTCCCGCGAGACGTCGACGCTGCGCCGCGATCGCGCGCGATCGTTGCGCGATTCAAATTTTTCCGCGATAATAGCAGAAAGTAGACAACGAAGCGGGGTCGCGATCGCGTCGTCGCTCAATTATCTAGAAAACGCAGGCATACCTCGCACGGTTCCGTTTAAACGGCCGCGTGCTCGAGCTTTCGTCGCGCGCGCTCGATCGTCTCTCGTTCTTGGAATTTTCAAGCGATTCCAGATACACGCGTGCACAGCGAGTTCGATCGAGTCCAAACGACTCGCGAGATACGAACGGTGCGCGCTCGCGTTTCGAACGTTATGCTCGCCCCATAATCCTGTTTCTTCGTCGATCTCTTCGTCGATCTCTTCGTCGATCTCTTCGTCGATCTCTTCGTCGATCGCGTATCAGAATTCGGAATTCGGAATTCGGAATTCGGAATTCGGAATTGCATCGCTTCGTCGGTAGAAACGCGAGAGCGCGTTCAATGGGCATCGAGCAAGTATCCACGATCCTCCCACCCTCCCATTCTGCACCCCGAAAAGTGCTCGAGGCGTTTCATCCGATCGACGAGAGTCGCCGTANATCTCTTCGTCGATCTCTTCGTCGATCTCTTCGTCGATCGCGTATCAGAATTCGGAATTCGGAATTCGGAATTCGGAATTCGGAATTGCATCGCTTCGTCGGTAGAAACGCGAGAGCGCGTTCAATGGGCATCGAGCAAGTATCCACGATCCTCCCACCCTCCCATTCTGCACCCCGAAAAGTGCTCGAGGCGTTTCATCCGATCGACGAGAGTCGCCGTACGCGATAATAACTCGCGCACCGACGTTCGACAGACTTCGGTCTACGGTGTTCCACGAAGCGATAACAGCGGCCGGATCGTAAAATGCGGTCGCGTGGAAATAATCGCGGTCCAATTAATCGTTTTCGCGATCGGTGTCGCTCGTTCGGAGCGTCCGAAACGTTCGAATTCGCGGAAACGCGACGCGAGAACTTACTTTGAAGTTGCTGTATGGTGGCCTGGTACTCCGCGAGCTTCTCGTCCACGTAATCCTGGCTCTGGTTGGCTATTATTTCCGCGGTGCTGGGACCGCTGGATTCCTCCTCGGTCTGCGAGTGCTCCAAAGGTACGCCGACGTATTCGTAATCGCCGGATCTGTAGGCGCCGATCATGTATTCGGGCGGTCCGGCGATCGATGGCGACGACGTCCCGCTTTCCGCCGAACTCTGTCAACATCGAAACAAGAACGTGTGAACGCGCGGCGATCCGTTTACGAAAACGAAGACTCGGACGATCGGTTTTCGCTTCGAAAAGAAACTCTGGAGAAGCTCTGGAACAACGAAAGTCTTTAAGAGCGACGATCTTCGCGTTCGACGCTGGCCCGTTTCTTGGGCCAGCGGCGTCGTTTCGTTCGATGCAGCGACAGCGGACTGCCGGAAGGGTGCCGCGGTATCGCGAGCCGACTCTTTCGCTCGCGTACGATGAACCATTCGTTGTCCGCGCCGCGCCGCGCCGCGCCGCGCCGCGAATACGACCGTTCGCAAACCCTCGCACGAGCAACAAACTTCTTTCAACTTTTTTCGCTCAACGAATCTGCCGTGTACGGAGCACCCCGTTTTATTCTTATCTCGTTATAGATTTTGCAATTTTAATTTGTTCCACGCGTACTCTATTCCACCGTGCTCCGTTCTTCTACTTTGCCCGCTTCGCGGACTCTGTCCGATCGTACCTTGTTCGCGTTCTATTTTTCCACCGTTCTCCGCTTCGTACAGAAACGGACTCGATTCGAACGTAATCTCTGTCTCGTTTCATCCTACCCTCGGCTCGATTTCATTCTACTCCGATTTGCACCCGAAATATCTCTATTTTGCGAAGCACCGCGGCTCGAACTCTGCTCCACTTTCGTATTCGAAGGGACTATTTCGAAACGGTTCGGTTGCACCGCGATCCATCGTTTCGACCCGAGGATCGCGCCAACGGGGAATCGCGGCGCGGAGAGGCGCGATTCGCGCAACCCGCGCTCCGCACGCTTTTTGCCGCACCGACAAATAATTACGGTGCATTCGCGCCTGGCGCGGATAGCAGAAACCGGTCGTCGGGCCTCGACGCGGCCTACATTTCGTGCGGCCGCCTAATTCGACGATCCGTCGGAACGCGCGCGCGCACGCGAGCGATTCGGCCGGCGGCAGACTCTCTTCTCTTTCAAAATTTCGATGCGGCTGGCTGGTCGAGAGTTCGCGCCGACGTCGCGGAATACAGACCAAATTGAACGACGAGCCGACGCGGGACGAGTGCTCGCACTCGAAACGTCGACCGAACTCTCTCGTTAGATTTCAATCCCAATCCCAATCCCGAAGTTGTGAATTGCGACGCGTGCAAACGTGTACCACATGCGATCCTCGCCGTTTTCTAAAATCGTTTCGAGCCGGAGACGAGCAACCGGCTCTACGTTGTATCAACGCGATGCCTATCGATCGATTCTGTCTGGTTCGTTGGCTAACAGGTCGTACGATAAATTGAGTTAGAAGGAATTCAAAGAGAGAGAGAGAGAGAGAGAGAGAGAGAGAGAGAGAGAGAGAGGTTGCTGTGTTGCGAACGTGCAACCGTGATGCGCGAATTACGATTCGACGGCTGTCCTACGAATTCGCGGTCCGTTCGCGGTTACAATCTATTCGTGTTCGAAAATCGAATAGAAATCGAAATTTGAGATCGCGGTAGAATCTCGACGAGTAGCTGATACAAAAGCGGTCCTCGCTCAACGCCGTTTGTGTTCCATGTCCGCCGATCGCGCACCGATCGACCGAGATTCCGCCGCGTTTAACGCTATTTTGACCGATCCATTGGCATATACCTGCTTCGATCGAATTAACTTTCCAATCGTTCCGACGGTCGTCGAGTCGATCGAGGAAACGCGAGCAGACTCGAGGATGCTTCCCGACTCGATCGCGCGCGTTGCTAAAACCAGCCCCGAACGAAGACACGACGTCGAAGCGTGTTTCGCCGATGGAAGAGAACTTACCTGGGTCGGTATGTAAGGCCTGGGCGTCTGGCCGATGAGAGGAAGAGGCGACGGCCACCTGGGTCTGGGACACTGTACGAAAGTCGGTGCACCGAACACCGGCGAAATCCCAGGCGAGATCGGCATCCCGATCGGCATGCCGACCGGCATCCCGATCGGCACCGGGCTCATCGGATGCATCGTTCCGGAATACGTCAGCGGCGACGTAGGATGAGCGTGATGAACCGGCGTCGGCGTCGGCGTCGGCGTCGGCGTTCCTCGAGCGCGTTGCGGATGCGACGAACTCGAAGGCGTGTAGGGCGACGGGGGCCTCAAGTGGCCGGGCACGCTCGATCTCGCGGGCCAACCACCTCCTGGTCCTTGCCCGGGCCCTTGACCGGACCCCGATCCCGATCCCGATCCCGACTCCGACCCTGGTTTTCCATGGGATTTCGACGGCGGCTGCGACATCTCTGGCTATTTAGAAGATTCCCGCGGCGCGCTTCGCTCGCTTAGCATCGCTGCAAAACGGATGGCGCGTTCTTACATCCGTTCGTTTAATTTTTAACCATCTTATAATATTTATTCGTCGAAACGTCTACGAAGGAAAGAGCCGAAAATCGATTTGAAAAATTCACGCGACACCCAAGTAATATACGGTCGATGTTCGATACGGAAACTAGCAAGTTCGAATTCTTTCGAAAACTCTTTCGCATTCGAGGCATCCTGGGTCGCGTCGCGCCGTTGCGTTTCCCGACGGAGATTCGTAGGAATCGACGATGTTTCGCCCTTCGAAGTCCAAATCAAATTCTGTACCTAATAATTGAAAAAAACAAAAAAACATAATGCACGGAATCATCGTCGATTTCCTTTTTCTTCGAAGAAATTATCGCGACGGAAAAAATTCGCATCGTTCCGACCATGAACGTAACAACGGTTATATCTAGGTAAACGGTTAAAAAACATGACGCGCGACACACGGCTCGCGACGCGTGACACGCGACTTCGAAAGAGGCATTATTTTTTGCTGTTCGTTCGCTGTACCATAGGAAGGAGAAACATAAGTTGATATTTCATTCGCGGAAGAATTATAAACGCGCGCGTCGATCGTGGCCGTAGCGAAATATTTCGCGATAAATCGATTAAAAGTTGGAGGATCGTGACCCGCGATCCGCGACGATTCGCTGGCAGCTAGAAACGTCTTCGACGCTTAACGAGCTCTGGGTCGCGCGGTGGCAGTGAGCAGGCAGATTAGAACGGGCGATCGTCCAGAAACCTCTCGAAATAGGCGGTTCGATTGTCTAGCTTTTCGCCGACTTGCGCACGTTGCCGTGGGGAAAATGGGGAAATGGGGAAGCGTGGAAAAGAAGCGTGGAAAAGAAGCGTGGAAAAGAAGCGTGGAAAAGCGTGGAAAAGCGTCGAAAAGCGTCGAAAAGCGTCGAAAACCATGGGAGAGCGTGGAGGTTTGGAAACGTGGAAATGTGAAAAATCCGACGTTACGTGGTCACGGCGAATCGTGGAAACGCGAGTTGGAGTTGGAATCGAGTGGCAAGAGCTCGCAATTTCGCTTCTTTCACGAAACGACGAAGCGAATTGAACGATTGAAAACCAAGTTGCATCCGAATCGTGCCGAATAGCGAAGCGTGTACGTATAATAGTTAGAAATTCGGTTTCAAGGCTTCTCGGATCGTCGAACGTTAGAAACGTTCTCGCACAGTGCTTTCAACGGGGAATACAGAGAGAGAGAGAGAGAGAGAGAGAGAATCGTTGTTTAATCTTTAAACCAGAAGAATTTCAATTCTGACGCAAGTCTTCGGTCGTGATCAGCGATCGCTGCCAAATCGGATACTCGCTATCCGTCGCACCGTTCGACTCTTACTCGTGGGAGGTGGGACGCTTTATCCACCGGTTTTCCAACGGTTGTTTCTCCGCTTACTTTTCAAATCGTGGATCGACGGTTACGAATTTCTGAACAAATCGTTGGATAACTATCGTACAACGATGGCACGGTTATACGCGGTAATCGATCCGGTTCGATGTCGGGTAACGTACTCGCGAGTACGAGACGCGGCAAGTTCTTTGAAAACGATTATTCGAAAGAAGACCTTTTCCTGGACACGGTTCAGCCGTTGAAAAGCTCGCGAATTCCCACCAAAGCGTATCGAGTTTAAATATTCTATCGTAGCACGAACTTTCAAATATATTCGAACGAAATGAAAATTATTTTCGAAAACTAGCGAAAACGAAGACCGACTACCGAAAACTGATCGACAACGAGAGACCGAGCCGAGCCGAGTCGAGCTTCCTTCGTTGATCCAGCCGTAGAAACGGATGATCGGTTACCGATTTTCCATCGAAATAATTCCGAGATAAAAGGAAGTCGAGACACGATACGACGATACGATCGGACGGGTCGAAGGTCTAAAGGTTTTTGGCTGGATATCGAGTGTGGGCCGACTAAATATAGCGGGAATTCTATTTTAAAGGAACTCGCGAGCGGTGCTCGCAGACGCGTCCGACACGGTAAGTGCGTCGTCGCATTTCCAACGCTGCGTCGGACATTTCATATACGTGCGTAGATACGTATTTCCGAAAGGGACAGGCGCGCTGGCAAACGCGATCCACAAGGATCCTCCGACCCAAAGGTCCTCGGTTCTCGGTCCGCGCTCCGTGTAACCGCATCCGAAGCACAGCGTTCCGGTGGCATTCGGTACCTTCGAGCAGAAGCTCGAATCTCTATTCCCATCGAGCAATTTATCAACGTAGCATTTGCATCGTAACGGTCGGCTTTTCGATCACCGAATTCCCTCAGAGAGAAAGAGAGAGAGAGAGAGAGAGAGAGAGAGAGAGAGAGAGAAGCTCGACCATTTTCTTTCGAATAATCGTTTCGAAAGAATCGGGGTTACATTCCGTCGACCCATCGACCCATCGCGTCGACGAACGAAACAAATTTCGGAAACTTTACGTATTTATTTCGTCGAATGAAAATCGAACGGCCAAGCCGATCGAACCGAAAAGTCGCGACAAGCAGGTTACCGCGTGAATCGATCAAATTTCATGGATCACGGACGAGACGATCGTAGCACGTTCGATCGTTCTCGACCGATCCTCGATTTTAATACCGAGCGATCGGTTGGAAACTTTCGTACGGATAAAGCGTTACAACGTTCCTCGTGTTCGACTTTGAAAAATTATTGGTCAAAAGTAGGAAAAGCATCGGCCTCGACTCGATGCCGAAAAACGCTGCTCCCGCGATTCGTCGAACGTTCGTAACCAAAAGCGCGCGTCTCTCCGTCGATTCCCCGTCTCTCGCGTCGCATCCCCGAGCATTTTTTTCTCTTCGGGAACATAAAATCGCGTATCGTCCGCGGAACAACGCGAAACGATCGTTGCGACGCGACGCGGATTATTAATAGCCGCGTGGTTTGCGAGGAAGAAGGATCGCCAAGGCCCGGCTTTTCTTTGCCACGGAATTTCGTCGATTCGGTATCCCGCAGTCCGCGTCGTTCGAAACTCGGAACTCGTAACTCGGAACTCGGAACTCGGAAATCGGAACGGCCCGGTTATCGTCTGTAAAAGTAACCAACCGGTGTATCCGTTCCGTTCCGTTCCATTCCACTCCGTTCTCGTCAAAGTTGACGAACGCGGGCGAGACCGGCGCGATACGGGTTCGAGCTCGTTCCACCGATTTCGATAAACCATTGAGAAGAATCGAGCGCCTTCTGCTCTATAAATAGGCTGCGAAGCCACTCGAAAACGAATTCAAACTCGAATTCCAAGTGTCTCGGTTCCTCTCGAAGACCATAGAATAAAATGTCGATCGAAACGAAACGAAACGATACGTTCTTCTTGCTTCGGAAGTAGAGCGGAATGGAGGACCGAAGACGGTGCCTGGACCCCGAAGAGAACTTCGAGCAAGGTGTTGTTGCCAGACGTTCCCCGCGATCCGAATAAAATCACGCGGACCGGCACGCGTAAAATTCTATCGTATCGAGAAGAGTCTCCGATGTTAACGTTAACCGTTGGCTGGATCCTGGACCTCGGATGCTGCGTCCGAAAATAAGATTACCGCCGAATAAACGAACAGAAATAGGCGACGTTCGGAACGAATGCTCCGGATGCTCCGGAGCCTCCTTCTCCTAGCACAGGTTGCTCGTGCAGAGTGCCGGTTAACCCCGATCACCGCGCCGGTTATCGTCGAAGCCCTGGGCACCGAGCCCGACACCGGCACCGATTAATATCGAGCCGAGCGAGAAAAAGCTGGGTCTTCGATCGATCCGGTCTCCGCGACAGCGGAGCCAGCAGAAGATACGCTTTCAATCAGTTCCGTCGAGATTTCCTAATCGTCGCGACCACGTTTCAGAGATCTCTACGCTTTTTAACATGGCCAGCCTCTTTCGATCCCATCGAACCCATTTCGAAGAGCGATCGCTCGGATCTTACGATTCGGAGGGGTCCGGGTTCGGTAAGATACGAGAGCGTGCAGCCACGCCTATCCCATCCAATTGCATAATTTTCAAGCGCGCGCTAATGGTGGACACCGCGGAATAAAAGCTGGCGGAAAGGGAATTTGAGCCGGCGCGTTAGCCGGTTGATTAGAAATCTTCGAAATTCTTCGTTCTCCGGAACGAACAAATATATTTCTTTCGACTCGAAATTTTCCGACGAAAACGAGAATAACACGACAAGATGATACGAAAGCGAGTCGAGTCGATCGTCTTCAAATCTTCGGCACAACTGTCTTTGACAAAATGTACGAGAGCCGAAGAAATTCAAAGACGATTCATCGATAAAATCGGATGTAAAAGTCGGTAAAAAAAGTAACGATACCGATAGGGCGTCGAGCTGTCGATCGAGGAAATCGGGTGCACAATAATCCAAAGTCACTGTCGTTTCCGTCGAGAATACAGAGATAGCAAGAGAGAGAGAGAGAGAGAGAGAGAGAGAGAGAGAGAGAGAGAGAGAGAGAGAAAGAAAGAGCGCGGTTCGATCGGTTTCGTTCAAGGTACGATCCCCTGAACTCTCATCGGGCACGACGTTCTCGCGTGTAACACTCGGGTTATGTATCGGGCCCCGATGATCGAGGGGGTGATCGATCGTGGCGGAAAAATCGTGCGGCTCGCGCAACGACTGGTTCGTAGTCGGTTATTCGTAGTCGGTCCACGACGAAGACCGGTCACGAAGAGACTGGTCTCGGTCCTCGGTCCTCGGTCTACGCTGGTTCATCGGTCCAAGACGCTTGCCGCGACATTTATATTTAACTTTGGCGTCGCTCGACTTTTCGGCTTCGGATACGCGCGCTCGCGCGAGGCGATTCCGCCTGGCGCAACGGTGCGGCGTTCCCGCTTCCCCTCCCGCTGCCGCTCCACATTTCCTCGTCCCTCTTGCCGCAGCCTTCGCCCACCACCTTCTGGCAATCTTCCCCTATCCATACCCCCTGACCAGCCTACCTTCGAACGACGTCGACGGCGTTTCCGTTTATTATCGGCGGTGAACTAACATCGGGAACCGTTTGGTTCCCTTTTCGGCGAGCCTTCGCGCGGCAACCCGACGATCGAAGACACAGGACTGGATCCATGGAGAACTCTGTATTGTCCTTTTTCGATCGATCGCGCCCCCATTGTTGTTGGATACAACCTCTGGATCTTGGAATCGTTCGCGTCTGCCGTATCGTGGTGAAAATATTCTCTCTCTCTCTCTCTCTCTCTCTCTCTCTCTCTCTCTCTCTCTCTCTTTCTCTCTTTGTTCACCCGCACTTCGAAACATTTTGTACGTCGAATGGAAATTCAGTTGCGTCCTCTTTCCTCGGCTTTGAAATTAATTCGAGTCGCGAACGTCGCGAAAACCGACGGTATCGATAACGAGAGCGACTACGGAGTACGAGGATCTTGCAAACAAGATTGCTTCAATTTCTTTCCGATCGATTCGATTGTCCGGTAAAAAATTGCAGATCGATCGCCGGATCGAGCTTAAACTCGAAGACTCGAGTGTCCAGGACTCGTCGCTATGGACTCGTCCTGTTTTTTTTCGATTATAGGCGGCGGTCCACCAACATCGTATGCGTTAAGCGATCGTAAGAAAAGCAGTAATTGAAAGCCAAAAATACGTTTAAATTTCAATTAAACATAGATAATATCGAATAATTACGCGATCGACGCTTTGGCCATCCCTGGTCTAGAGTTTAGAGTGTCTAGAGCGACTACAGCGGGAATAGATATCGTTGTATGGATTGTTTTACGCCTTTTTCGAGGAAAATTTTTGTTCGCCGAGGACGAGCGTTGCGTTCGAGGGATCGTCTCCAGCTTCCAAAACGCGCTCTTCACGAAAGAACGGAGCTGCGCGAGGAACGACCGGAAGTTGACAGCTGGCCCGCGAGGTTGATGATCGCCTTGACCCCGTTGCGTTCACCGGGGGACCTATTTTCATTCGTTTCTAGAGAGTGCTACTTAATATCTAGGATGTTACTCTTTGATAGAGCAAACGATGCGACTAAAAATATGACGTCCTTTCGACAGAACCAGTGAAACCGATTCATTTCAGTGTTTCTACGCCTGGAAACGACCGTACACGTACACGTACACGTACCGATATATTGCTAGTAACTCGATATAACTCCAAGAATTCTAATTCCATTTCGAAATACGAAATACGAAATACGAAATACGAAATACGAAATACGGAATAATACGTTAATCGTTCGAGAAACAGCGCGAGAAGGAGGAATTCCAAATAATTAATACCAGGCTCGATAATAATTTTTGGCATACTCGTTAGCAATGAAATTAGCACCTTGCATACAACTTCCGATCGGTCGAGTCACGGCACGATATTCTGCTACCGCTACAAACGTATTTATATTTTCAACGATATCTCGAGTCAATTGGAACACTTTTGCAATTGAGAAAACCTGCACGAACACCACCGCGCACCTTCTAACGATTTCAAGCAGAATTTCTAACGGATCGATTAGTTATCGGCGATTTTTAAAATGGAACAACAAAGATATACATATGCCGTTGATACGAGCACAGCAGAAAATCATTGATAACGCAGTTAATACGCGCCAACAACGTTTCTTGGATCGCTTAAATTGTTCACCGGTCGTGCGAAACAAATCGATTTATCGATTGATCGATTTATTATCGATAAACTCAAAGAACGTATGATTCGTACCACTTTCTCCATGAGAGGCAATGTTAAATCCGGCACGAATTATATTTTTCAAATAGTTCGAACAGCGCCATTTCGTGCAGTGACAAAATGCTCAAACTGTTACCCAAAATCGACGACCACGGTGCAAGGATTAGGTTTTTCGTTTATTTTAAGCGATACATACAAATTTTTTCCGTTTACTTATCCACTTGTATACAGTTGGCAATACTGCCATTCTTACCATGTTGTCTTCGCAGTTGCGTCTTATACTCTTATAACAAATCATTCTTACATACTAACTTTAACCTAGACAAGACAAAAGATAAAAATATATTCGCATTGTAGCTTCCAAATTTTTTGAACCCTATTTTACATATATCGCAGGTACAGTCATTGCGTCGTTGTCGTCGTCGTCGTCGTCGTCGTCATGTGTGTGTGTGTGCGCGCGCGTGCGTGCGTGCGTGCGTGCGTGCGTGCGTGTGTGTGTGTGTGTGTGTGTGTGTGTGTGTGTGTGTGTGTGTGTGGGGAGGGGGAGATAGGAAATTTCCTTTACCAACAAAAAATATATTTTCTTATTCTACTTCTGCTTCAGTCTTTTCTTTTGATTCTAGTTTCTCTATTTTTCTTTGCATAAAATAACCTTGCGAAGAAGAACTGAAACTCGCGTTGGTGTTCCGTACAGCGCCAATTCAGATAGCTGCAAAACGCTCATACTGTTAGCTAAAACTTCGAATATGGATTCCAGTCCAGACTCGAAATTCTAAATAGAATAACGGAACCTAATTCTGCACACCTCTAGGCCGTAGCTTGATCCGTTATTGAGAATCGATATAGAAATTTTCTTCCTTTCGATTGGCTGACGACTCACTGCTGAGACAAGATGCACCACGGAATGAATGCGCGGTAAAATGGTGGAGACACGCGCGCCAGCTTAGAGAATAAGACAAGCGTGCACAAGTAGGCCCCATTATTGTACATATGTAGTGCTACACCTTACAAATTCTACGAGCGTTTCAATTTTGCAGTTTTCACTCTTCGATTCTCAGCAAACCTCCCAGGATACTGCTGCTGACCGTTTTACGGCTTTCCTCCAGGAAACTAGATGCGGGACAATTATCCATCACAAATTGGATTGGGTGATGCCGATAGAAATCTATTGGAATCGTCCAATCACATTTGTGACGTCTCCGCTCCGCCAATTGGAGCAGATTCTGAGAAGAATTCCTGACACACCATTGGACACTGGCTGGCTTCGAATGGAAATTCCATGAACGGTCGAGATGCTGGGAGAGGTCTGGTTTTCAACAGTTTTCAGTGGTTCTCGGCTTCGGTTTGAAACAGAAACAGTTTGAAATATTTGAAAGGCGGCGCACGTACCGGTTGTTCGTGCATGTATATGTAGTTTGTTTCAGAGGTTACACAGTACCTATTGTAAACAATAAACTACCATGACGAACGACGAAACAAATATGTAACGCAGAAATGCTGTATTTATTATTGTAACATACTGTACGAAATATTTGAATGGTTATCCGAGGAATTGCTAATATATTTCTTATGAATTATACGATTTCATAGGTTTAGGATGGACGGTCACGCTGTTGAAAGTTTGCCGTGAGTAAACATTTTTCTCTTTATTGCAACGAAATCTGACATATCGCTTTTATCGTACCTTCGCTATTTAACTCTAATTTACGATAGCCGTCGTCGTACTAAACTGATTTTTACCACAGTTACTGCAAGGAATTATGGCTTCTAATATCGGATACGGTATGCCGGTGTGAGAAACAGCTGGTCGAAGATGAAATTAAAAAGGAGAGTAAACTGCTCAAGGAGGGTCTTCTGTTCTTCAAACCGTACACGGAAGCCTCACTTTCTAATATTCCAAAGAACGATCCTTCGCCCCGAATGTACGAATTGATCAGCAAATTAGCTCCTCTCTTGGTACGCTCCTCTCGTGGTATTTCTTAAGAAACTTCCTCTCGAATTTTACCGGTCACGGTTATCATTTTTCTATTCGTTTGTCAAAGAATCTGGATGCTACGCTTACCTGGGACCTGGTTTGCAATTTCATCAAGTACGAATATCGTAACTGCACGGAAACCTTTGTGTCTCAACTGATAGATTTCTCCTCGATGAAAGCATTGATCGACGACATTTGGAACTTTTATTACTCCGAACGAATGACCTTAATAAAGTGCCTTAAACTGATGGTCGAATACAAAGACAACGGACATCGTTACCAGAAGGAATTTGCCAGATTTTTCAATGACGTAGTTTTGCTCGGGTCTCTCCTAGAGTCGATTAGGAAGCAGATAGAAATGCTGAAGACCGTGAACCCACCGGTTCGATCGCAATTATGCACGGAAGAGTATTTGCACAGGCTTTATAACAGTAGCCTCGTCGAGATGCGAGAATTGCTTCATATATTAACGTACATCATTCACGACATACACATCGTTGACACCGAATTCTTGAAATTATACGAAAGTATCGGAGTAAGTACAATAGTTGCGTAGACAATTTGTGTTGCTCGATTAACATTTCAGTGATCGTACAGGGAGAACCGAAGCGCTTGGCAAGTACTAAGAGTCACGAAGATAAAAAAGTAATTGCTAGAAAAATTAAAGAAATCCACCATAGTCAAGCAGCGTTGATTCTAGTAGCGTTGGATGTGATAAAACAGTAAGTGCGATCAATTGTTTACACGTCCGCAACCCACGACGGTTTCGGAGATGATTATATATATACACAGGGTGTTCCACAATTATTTTAACAGCCGAAAATGAGGGGTAGCTGAGGTCATTTGAAGTAACTTTTTCCTTTGCGAAAATGCAATCCGCGGCTTTGTTTACGAGTTATTAACGAAAAACATTGGCCAATGAGAGGTGACGGTGCGAGAGAGAGGGTCCGCGAGAGAGTCCGCAGCACGAGGCTTTGACAGAAGGTCGGGACGGACTCGAGCCGCGTTCGAAGTATTGAACAAGTCACGAAGCGAGAACTTTCCGAATTTTTTTTACTACATAACAGTGATATTTTTAAGAAAAACGCTGTTCACCTTTACTTTGGAACGTCTGAAGAATATTCACTAATTTTTCGGACTCGAAATAATAAGTAATTTAACTCGTGTGTAACATGTGAAATTTTTAAGCAAGGTGTACAGTGAAAAGATTAACAAAGTACGTAAATGATATTTTAATTTAAATAATTCCGTGTCCGAACACAGTTCAACGAATGATTCGCAAAGCTAATTTAATAAATAATAATCGTGTTAAAGAACGTGAGGGATATGTTTGTTAGAGAAATATGAAGAATATTATCAATAAGAAACTCATCCATTTAGTTGTAAATCCACTTCATGCACGGAAATGTGTGCAGGAGGATAGTGCATTGACCTCGTACAATGTATGATGAACTGCACAGCTGATCTGTATCCGACGGCGACGAACAGAAGGATATCTCCGGGCAGGCAATTTCAACGTTTACTTTCACTGCATTATCACTAAACACTGATCACTTATCAATAATATTTATGGACCAACTTTCCTGGGTTAATATGTATGGCCCTGAAAAGAGCCGATTGTTTTATGCGACGCGTTCGAAGTTCATATCGTTAAGAACACATACCGCGTTGACGGGATAAACTGCGGAAGACTAGCACGATGGCTGACAATGTTCGCGTTCGATGGAAAACAGTTGAAATTCGCTCGTAGGAGAACGAAACACAGTCGGCCATCGTGCCAGTCTTCTGCAGTTCATCTCGACAACGCGGTACATACGTGTCGATAACAGTGAGAACTTCGAACGCGTCGCATAAAAAAATCGGCTCTTTTCAGAGCTATACATATTAACCCAGGAAAGTTGGTCCATAAATATTATTGATAAGTGATCAGTGTTTAGTAATAATGCAGTGAAAGTAAACGTTGAAATTGCCTGCCCGGAGATATCCTTCTGTTCGTCGCCGTCGGATACAGATCAGCTGTGCAGTTCATCATACATTGTACGAGGTCAATGCACTATCCTCCTGCACACATTTCCGTGCATGAAGTGGATTTTACAACTAAATGGGTGAGTTTCTTATTGATAATATTCTTCATATTTCTCTAACAAACATATCCCTTACGTCCTTTAACACGATTATTATTTATTAAATTAGCTTTGCGAATCATTCGTTGAACTGTGTTCGGACACGGAATTATTTAAATTAAAATATCATTTACGTACTTTGTTAATCTTCACTGTACACCTTGCTTAAAAATTTCACATGTTACACACGAGGTGTCATGCACACTAGAAAATTAAAACGGCCGTCACGGTTAAATTATTTATTATTTCGGGTCCGAAAAATGAGTAAATATTCTTCAGACGTTCTAAAGTAAAGGTGAACAGCGTTTTTCTTAAAAATATCACTGTTACGTAGTAAAAAAAAATCCCGAAAGTTCTCGCTTCGTAATTTGTTCAATACTTCGAACGTGGCTCGAGTCCGTCCCGACCATCTGTCAAAGCCTCGTGCTGCGTACTCTCTCGCGGACTCTCTCTCTCGCACCGTCACCTCTCATTGGCCAGTGTTTTTCGTTAATAACTCGTAAACAAAGCCGCGGATTGCATTTTCGCAAAGGAAAAAGTTACTTCAAATGACCTCAGCTACCCCTCATTTTCGGCTGTTAAAATAATTGTGGGACACCCTGTATATATATATATATATACAGGTTGCCCCAAAAATGTCTCGCAGTACGGAAATGTGGGGTAGCTGAGGTCATTCTAAGTAACTTTTTCCTTTGCGAAAATGCAATCTGCGGCTTTGTTTACGAGTTATTAACGAAAAACACTGGCCAATGAGAGGTGACGGTGCGAGAGAGAGAGTCCGCGAGAGAGTACGCAGCACGAGGCTTTGACAGATGGTCGGGACGGACTCGAGCCACGTTCGAAGTATTGAACAAATTACGAAGCGAGAACTTTCGGGATTTTTTTTTACTACGTAACAGTGATATTTTTAAGAAAAACGCTGTTCACCTTTACTTTAGAACGTCTGAAGAATATTTACTAATTTTTCGGACCCGAAATAATATGTAGTTTAACCGTGACGGCCGTTTTAATTTTCTAGTGTGCATGACACCTCGTGTGTAACATGTGAAATTTTTAAGCAAGGTGTACAGTGAAGGTTAACAAAGTACGTAAATGATATTTTACGTAAATGATATTTTAATTTAAATAATTCCGTGTCCGAACACAGTTCGACGAATGATTCGCAAAGCTAATTTAATAAATAATAATCGTGTTAAAGGACGTAAGGGATATGTTTGTTAGAGAAATATGAAGAATATTATCAATAAGAAACTCACCCATTTAGTTGTAAAATCCACTTCATGCACGGAAATGTGTGCAGGAGGATAGTGCATTGACCTCGTACAATGTATGATGAACTGCACAGCTGATCTGTATCCGACGGCGACGAACAGAAGGATATCTCCGGGCAGGCAATTTCAACGTTTACTTTCACTGCATTATCACTAAACACTGATCACTTATCAATAATATTTATGGACCAACTTTCCTGGGTTAATATGTATGGCCCTGAAAAGAGCCGATTGTTTTATGCGACGCGTTCGAAGTTCATATCGTTAAGAACACATACCGCGTTGACGGGATAAACTGCGGAAGACTAGCACGATGGCTGACAATGTTCGCGTTCGATGAAAAACAGTTGAAATTCGCTCGTAGGAGAACGAAACACAGTCGGCCATCGTGCCAGTCTTCTGCAGTTCATCTCGACAACGCGGTACATACGTGTCGATAACAGTGAGAACTTCGAACGCGTCGCATAAAAAAATCGGCTCTTTTCAGAGCTATACATATTAACCCAGGAAAGTTGGTCCATAAATATTATTGATAAGTGATCAGTGTTTAGTAATAATGCAGTGAAAGTAAACGTTGAAATTGCCTGCCCGGAGATATCCTTCTGTTCGTCGCCGTCGGATACAGATCAGCTGTGCAGTTCATCATACATTGTACGAGGTCAATGCACTATCCTCCTGCACACATTTCCGTGCATGAAGTGGATTTTACAACTAAATGGGTGAGTTTCTTATTGATAATATTCTTCATATTTCTCTAACAAACATATCCCTTACGTCCTTTATAACACGATTATTATTTATTAAATTAGCTTTGCGAATCATTCGTTGAACTGTGTTCGGACACGGAATTATTTAAATTAAAATATCATTTACGTACTTTGTTAATCTTTTCACTGTACACCTTGCTTAAAAATTTCATATGTTACACACGAGGTCTCATGCACACTAGAAAATTAAAACGGCCGTCACGGTTAAATTACTTATTATTTCGGGTCCGAAAAATTAGTAAATATTCCTCAGACGTTCTAAACTAAAGGTGAACAGCGTTTTTCTGAAAAATATCACTGTTACGTAGTAAAAAAAAATCCGGAAAGTTCTCGCTTCGTGATTTGTTCAATACTTCGAACGCGGCTCGAGTCTGTCCCGACCATCTGTCAAAGCCTCGTGCTGCGGGCTCTCAAACTTCGCGCCGTCACCTCTCATTGGTCAGTGTTTTTCGTTAATAACTCGTAAACAAAGCCGCAGATTGCATTTTCGCAATGGAAAAAGTTACTTCAAATGCCCTCAGCTACCCCTCATTTTCGACTGTTAAAATAATTGCGTGTAATAAGTGCGTGTATGTGTTTGCAGTGCCAATATGGAGGACTGGGTTAGAAGCGTGAGAAACAGCATGCAGGAAATCTTCGAGCAAAAATGTGTCCGCGATAACAACCCGCAAGACGGTCCATTGTTCCTGTCGTGGATGTTAGCAAACTACGAAATAGATTCCGATAATATGGACACGTTGTCACGTTTCCGGCCGTTCGGTATCAAAGCCATCCAACTTGAAGTTTTCCGTTATTTGCAGAACCTGATGAACAGCGAGATGATACGCGAGAAAACTCATTATGCCAAAGTCGTGCGGAACAGCGTGTACAATTTGTTGAAGTTGGTGTGCGTTTTCGTCGACGAGGAGAAGCTCGGTGCATTAAACGGTATCTTTGACGCGGTAGCTGCAACTGTACAGTTCCCGGAAACGGCGGCTCTGTTCTGGCAAGAACGCGAGAACGGTTTGTCGCCGATCTACAAATTCGCTTCGGAACAGTTCCCATACGAATTCGAGCCGCTGACCAACATCGCGATTGGACTGGCTAGCGCCTCGAAATCAAGCGCCGAAACGATTGCCGTCGAATTAGAAAATTTGCGATCGTTGACGCTCGAATTGCCACGTCAACGAGACCACAACAAACCGTTGAAGCCCTACCAACAGGAATGCGCGATCCACAAGAATTCGTACACGATATCGGAGGATACCGTCCGAGAAAACGTACGCATACTGTCGAGCGATCGCGAGGTAGTGATATTCCGACAGAAAGCGAGCTATTGGGATGCTCTGCATCACAAGATCGAAAAACTGTTCTCTCAAGCGGGTGGTATAATTTCAAATGTGAACGAGATGAGCAAAAATTTGCCGGAGAACGTGTCGCAGGGTCTGAAGTTGCTGAAGAAGCTGGCAAAATACATAGGAATCCGACAGAGCATGGTAATTCCGACGGAACTCAGCTTCGAAATCATCAATCGATTCTCCTATCCGGTATTGCCCGAAGAGAAAATGTACATATACAAGATAGTCGCGGCGTGCATTAATATCTCCTCCGAATTGATTCTCGAGTACCCCGAGGAGATTCTCGCGAGAATGCGCGTGGGCGTTTACCCGAGATTCAATAACCGGTGCCAGAAAACGCTCGATTTTGCGGAAGCGGTCTCCTTCGACGGCGGCATAGTCGCGTCCTGGCTGTCGGCCATAGAAACCATCGCTCACTCGTATCCGATTTTGAACGCGTACCTGGACATCCTGTCCAACTATTTAATCCGCAAATACAACGAGGAAGCTCTGTACACGGTCGAAATACCAGGAATGGTGTTCCTACTGCAAGGTGTGTTGCCGAAGTTGGACTCCTGGTACTTCGAGTCGGACGCGGAGAGGACCGATTTGTGGCTCAAGTGTATGTATTGTCTTCACAGAGCGCTCGAAACCAGTCTCTCCAAAGACGACATCCGCAACGAGCTGCAACTCGTGGTCGCGTACAGTCTGTTGTATCTAGAACCGCGACACGCTTTACTCAAATTGATCCGGACCGGTGAACGTACGTTGCACAACAAAATGATGGTAGAAACGGATTGGATTCGCGGAAAAGGTTTGAAGGCGATCACCAGCGTGCAACTGGCATTGTCGGTGGTAAACAGGCTGCTGATATTCAGAAAGTCGCTCGGTCTTCGGAACGGGGATAGATCGCCTTTGGAGGCGGCGCTCTACTCGTCGCCGCACGTGCCCAACGGACTTCTGATAGTACCGACGATCGTCAATTACCTTTACGTTTGGTTTAGCCCGCCGTTACAGGCGATGGCGGTCAGACTGTTGAAAAAGTTTGCCGAAGGATCGTCGATGTCCCTTCTGGTTTGCATGGGCATGGACGGGACGGCCATACGAGAGACGTTCGCGTCCCGTAGAGGACTCATGTCGCCGACCTGCGTAGCGGACATCAAAGTGGCCATACTCGAGCTGGTCGCCGTTTGCTTGGAGAAGCAACCCGGACTAACGGAAGCTCTGTTCAATATCGTGCACCCGGCAGAATGCAACCGGATCTTTCCGCGATCGGTCGAGGAGTTCTTCACGGAAGGCTGCAGACAGTTCTTGGACAAATACCTGAACCGAATCTACGAGAAGGAGAACGTCGTGTGCGACCAACTGTACAACAGCACGATGGCGCTGCTGCGAGCAATGTGGTATCACAGGAACGAAATCTTGGTAAACTTTTTCCGCAAACGGGACAAATTCTGGACTCATCTGCTCGCTCCGCTCTTCCGAGATCTGGTACCGGGCGCGAAAGGCTACTCCCATCTGCTCGACATAATCACTCTGGAGCTGTTCAAGAACTCCTCGCTCGAGGACGATTTCTCCGCGAACCTGAGGAAATTGATGGACAAGTCGAAGCATCACTGGAAAAACCTGGCGGTGTACATATTGAAGGACGAGCTGTCGGACAGCGGGTCGTCGAGCAATTGCGAGAAATGCGACAACAGCGGCGTCACGGGCTGTTCGTTGTACGAGACCAACCTGGAGTCCTGGTACAACTTCGTCGTCACATTGACGGACGAGAGGATCGCGGCCAACTATCCCGTGAACGTGATACAAGCGCAGCTGATAACGCAACGCTCCTTGGAATCTCTTCTGGAGCGTGTGAAACAGTCCCATGATCCCGGCAATCGGAAAGTCACGATGTTGCTGGCCTCCTTGTCGCTTCGATGCATCACCACTTGGAAGCAGATGTGCGTCGACGACTCGAGGATTTTCAAGTCCGGACTAACGCAGCTGATGCAAGAAATCGGCCAGGCCTATCGGTGTTACGGGAAATCGTTGCGTCAGACGCTGATGTCCTTGCTTCTAGGATGCGTACAGTGCGTGAAAAGCACGCTGCGCGAGGACGCGACCACTCTCGAATACCTCTTGGCGCACTCCTGCACCGTCGCCGCGTGCGAGCTGGAGGAATTGAAAGAAGCGGCGGTACAGTTCGAGAAGCGGAAGCAACAGCATCAACAGCCGCCGAACGTCGTCGGAGTCGTGGACGAGAAAGGGGCGCCGATCGGGAACTCGACGGCCCGGAAGAACGTCGACGAGAGGAACGCGGAGACCCTGCGAGGTATTCGGGAGAGTTTGCCCGCGACGTTGGCCATCTGCATGGTCACGCAGCTGCTGCGCTCCTACGTGGAGCGAAGCGCGTTGTCGAAACGTCAGAGGAAGTCCGGTTGCGTGCAGCTTCGACAAATGATACCCGAGCTGACCGCCTGCATCGGCATCACTATGCAAAAGTATCCGTATCTGCGGTTTAGCAGCGCCGCGCTCAACCTGCTCAACCTGATCGTCCGCTCGCCTTATACTTTGCATCCGATCAACGAGAACGACATCGCGAAACTGTGGTTGAGCTTGATACCGCCGCCGGCGATCGGCTACAGCATGCTGGATTCCCTGTACCAGGACCGGCCGGAGCCGAACCGGAACTGGCGGTGCCAAGATTGGTGGCCGCTGTACACCTTGGGCCTCGAATTCGTCACCGGACTGGTCACCAGAGAAACGCCCGCCGTCTACATCAAATCTATCCTAATGTTCCTCAACTCGCACGAGCACCAGCTGATGGTCGCATCTACGTTACTCAGACACACCGCGGACCTTCTCGCCGCCGACCTTGTCCAGTCTCTCGTCGCCCTGATCCATACGATGGCGACGCAACCTTACGTTTGGAACTCGATCCAGCCGAACGTCTGCGAGACTCTGATCAAGTGCATGTACCTTGCGTACGACAACACGGTGAACCTGCTTCTCAGGCCACGAATTCTCAAGTTCATCATCGACGGGATCAGCGTGGAAAGCGCCGAGGAGCTGGAGTCCTGCGACAAGAGATCGCCGAGCGGAGAATTGAAGCTTCTGGTGAACAAGCTGATAGTGATAAACACCACCTGCGCGCTGAGCTTCGTTCGCTTCTCGCCCAGACTGAACACTCTCGTCGACACGATCTATACGCAAGATTTTTGGTACACACCGATGGCCGAGATGAATTTCGGTCCTCCTCAGATGAGCATCAGCTCGGGCCCGCGGCTGACCTATGGAACGATCATCAGCTCGACCCAATTATTCACCCAGGCCCTGCATTCGCGGTCCCAACCGGTCAATTCCTCGTCCGTCTCGATCACCGGCCAGCCCGACAAAATGGATTCCGCGAAGAGAGAATGGGAACACGCGACCCCCGAGGATCGGCGAATGCATTCCAGCAAAGACCTCAGAAGAATTATTCACGCAGCCTCTGCCTCTGCAGCCGCCGCTTCTACCTCCGTCTCCGGCTCGGCCTCGGCCTCGGCTTCGGCCTCGAAGTCGTCGTCGAACGTCGGCGGAGACTTCTTGGTGTACGTCAGCGGACTGGACGTGACCGTGCCCTTGCTGAGCAGCCCGAGACTGGTCAGGAGACCGTACGACCCTCTCATCTGCGAGAACACCATTCTATCGAGGGCAACCGCTCTGACGAGCAGCAGACACGTGGCCAAAAGCGGAGCCACCGGCGGCGGAGCAACCGTCGGCGTCGGAGGTATCACCGGCAGTCCTGTTGTGACAAAGTATCAGAAGTTCAGCGACCCCTGGTTCGAATCCATGGACGAAAACAACACGAGGCTGGCGCTCGAGGTTAACCTCGTGTTGATTCTGTGCCAAGCGTTGGAGGGTGTCCGGAGTCCTCGAATCGCTCTTCGGGATCGTCAGCTCATAGCGCGAGAAACTGTCACGGAACTGGGGGTATTTTTCGATTTTCTCGAGCACCGAGGCACTCCCGACAACTGGCCCGTCGAAGGATCATTGATCAACGCCGACTCGAAGAGCGCGAGAACGATCAATCTGGCGATCGACCCGTGTCAAACTATTCTACCGGCTAGATTGAAGCAGCACCAAGGACGGAGACTCGAAGAGAACGGCATTTTCACGACCGGTACGTTCACGACGAACGTCAGTAGCGTACAATTTCTACCATTGATGGGGAAGCTGCTTAAAGCCGTGGTGGAATCGTTGGATTTAACGCAGTACCGATGATAACGATCGAGTCGCGTATTTTGTTTAGCGAAAGTTGCGACGACGGATCGGACAGCGATGTATGTACAAAAACTGTAACAATTTCATCGACACGCGCCGTCTATGTTGAAATTCATAATAAAGTAACAATTTTTATTGGAGCGTGTGTTCCGTCTTCGATATATCCAGCAAATGCTGAAGAAACATTTGCCTCTCGGGATCGGAAGCAGAGGACAAAACGAGGAGACCGCTTATGTATTCGACGAGAGACGAGCCGAGCGGATCGATAGTGTTTTGTTATTTTCTTCTGAAGAAAATATCAAAATATCGAGCTATCGGTTCGCGCTCGGCTCGCGTCGGTGAGAGCAGCGTAAAATGTACCTTTACGAGTCACCGCGTGTCGCCACGTGTAACATATATGATCACGGTCCGGAACACCCCGTTTCGCGTATTCGTGATGAAAATAAACGACAACGAAGTATTCAGCGAATTTCATTTAATGTAACCATGTTCAACGGATTACCGAGTTTCTGTTTCGTCGAATCTCCATTGATCGCGTAGCGAAACTAGACTTTTTGTACACTTAATACCAGCAATCGGACACGCGTTGTTAGGACAACGTTATGATTATCTCTTACAAATTTGCGCCCGGCGCTACAATTCTGTGATCATGATTCGTCGCGTGAATCACCTCTCGATAACACTTAAATATTTATAGATCCGAAAACGCGAAATCGATTCTCGAATAAATTAAACTAATTTTATAATCCATTCGTAAACTTCGTATACGAATGTAACGCGATACGTGTAGTTATCGTCGGGAACTAGAAAGCAGAAAATGGAAAAAGTTATGCTAATTTTTTAATGGCCACGTGCCATTTTAAGTTTCAACTTTTAACCCGCTACTGCTTTTTTCCCTTCCTGTTCCTGGTAATCGACGTAGCTTCAATACCTTTAGCTTACCGTGTCGCGATACGGGGAACGCGATTCTTCCGCTATCGCGAATGCGGTCGTGATCGTGATCGATGGTCACACTATGATACAGTAGAAAAATATAATTCGTGATAGAAACGAATATTATGTATATATATATATATATATATATATGTATATATATTACGGCGATAGCGGTGTCGCGAACGGCGAATTGAATGCGTCGCGCCAGCATATTCGACGCATTCCAGACTCGAAACCCGTAGGTCGCGTACGACGCTAAGGGGGTAAATGAGGTAAAATGTTCTCTGGCGAGGGTGAGTCGTGGGAATCGTTGGTTCTCGAAGTCACCCGACCGTGGTAAAAATTATTCGAAGTGACCGAAGCGACGACAGAACTGGCCGCGATCGTACTAGTGACCACCGTCGTCGCGGTCGCGGTTCCGATCGTGGTTGCGGTCGCGGTCGCGGTCCCTGCCGTAACCGATGGAACGGCGGTACTGCTGGTTGTTGTCGTCGCGTTGACGGTGATCGTCGTCACGACGGAAGAGGTAGAGTGACTTCGGGACGCCAATGTTGGCCAGGCGTGTGGATTAGCGCAACCTGTGTCGGACGGTGAACACTCCGAGAGGCGAGTCGACGCGCCACAGGATACGGCCGTTGACAAAATACTTGGAATCGCAGCCGAGGATGAGACGAACGTGCCTACGGTTGTCGGTGGTGGTGGAGGTGGAGGTGGCGGCGGTGGCGGTGGTGCCGGCGTTGGTCCATTCAAATCCGCCAAAGGATCGATCGCGGTACTGTCCCATGGTTCAACGGATTTCGACTCGTCGTTGCTTACGACGCTGGCAGTTGATCGCTGTCGCTTCGCATCGCCGTACAACAAACAGTGGACGTTCGGCGAACTGCTGCGGTCCCGTACACCCTCTTGTTCCTCCAGAAATCGGTCCATATAGTCCCTGCTTACGATTCAACGGTCTTGTCATACTTCAAGTTTTCAATTGTCGTCCGATGAAAAACCAGGACGTGACAGAGAAAATACTCACGTGATGCCAGGATGCAGAGCGTACTTCTTCTTTTCTAAGCGCGCCTTGTACGTAAATATGTCATGCCGTTCCGTCTTCTTCCACAGATAATAAAACTGCACTAGTTCGCCAACGGAACGCGTCCTCACCTACAACGATAACGATGCCGATCATAAAAACATTGATTAAGACTGATCGTTCTCTTATATGATCATTTCAGCTTTTCATGCTTGCAAGGTACGCGTACCTTGTTCTTTTGTATCAGGTGGAAATCTTTTCCGTAACTCCTTAATCCGGACTCAAAATTGTGGCATTCTTCTTCCGACCAAAGGCTAACCGCATCCGTTGGTGGTACAACGTTCATCCTCCGTCTTCTCAATGCCTCTTCGAGATTATAGCCGCATTGCAGCAATAAATATAATGCCTGCTCGTCGTCTCTGACGTGAGATCCTGTGGGTAGGGAACCACCTTTCACGGCCGGTAGCTGTGCCCGTTCCAAGAACTCCTCGGTCTCCTCTTCCGGTATATGACTGGGATCCCATAGCATTTTGTCTTCGTTCTCGTAAGGCAAAGCATCGTCGTAACGGCACAAACCTTCCGGTATAGCTGCTTGGTAATCGCTACCAACCATGATTGTCTTCTTCCATTCTTCCTCGTCCGGGCTGTAGTCGCAGTCGTCCTCTTCCTCTTCGCTCTGTGGTCGCGAAACGCTTCGCAGCAATCTCGATGTACCGCTTCCTATACCACTGCTGACCAAACCATCTTCTCCGCCTTCTACCGTGCCACCCGCGCCACTGCCCTCTATTATTCCGGATACAGTGGTATCGTCCGCCGTACAGCTACCGAGCCCACTTATACCGGTGCATTTAGCCGTACCACTACCTCCCAATTTCGCAGCGGTCCTTACTACGTTTTCATTGTTACTACAATTGTCGGTCATAGAACATTCTTCGGCTTCACCGTCCTCGTCGTCGGTGTTGTCGTCGTCGTGGATTCCGTGCCGTCTACCATTGTCCCCAGTAGCCACGCTACTGGCATTGTTTCCTTTCATCGTAGATCCGGACACCAACGATGTCGAATCCTTCCCCTTTACCAACATCTCGGTGTAAAATTGTTTAAGATCCGGCTCGTTACTAGCCGCGTCCGCTTCGTCGTCGTCGTCGTCGTCGTCGGCATCATTGTCACCTTTATCCGAATATTGTCCCTCGACCTCCGGATCCCCGCTTCCAGATGGCATCAACATTCGATCGGAACTGTTCGAATTCTCTGTCGACGGATCCCCGTACCCATACATTGCAAGCAGATCTTTTAGTGGCATATCACCTTCCTGAAAGAAGACAAGAACACAAATGATTATCACGCCGGACGTAACAAACAGACTAATCATACGAATCTCACTACGAGAACGCACTTTGAGTCCAAAGTGTTGTAGAAACTTATCATAATTGTAATTATTTATGGGCTTGATTTTTTCATTTCACAGGCTTGATCCTAGAATAGTTGGGATCAGAATCTTGTTACAAAGTGAACATCGTACATGTTAAATATTTAGCTCGAACGCCCCAGAATTATACCTTTTGCAAGTTGGACAACTCGTTGTGAGAATCTTCACTACCTTCTAAAGCCTCTTCTTCGTCTAATGTTCTTTCATCATCAAAATCATTTACCATCATTCCTGTACCCGGGCCCATATCATAATCTCGATCCGTCCTATAAAATATCCAATATTAATCAAGTATTTCTGTATTCGAACAAGAACGATCTCCCCCATCGAACACCGATCTTCGTATACTAACATCTTTACACGTATCGCAGTAGCCGCAGCTGCAACATAGCACGCAGATACTAGCCTTGCGTATCTAGTATGCGCTCAGAGCAATGTACACCATTAGAATGTTGTCGGAGGTCGCCCTTAAACTACCTGCATCGTGCATTTAGTTGGTTTTAGTTGATTCGATAAAACATTTCGATCGAATAAACAAACTGCATCACTGACAAATGTATTATAATATGCAAATTATGACGCGCATCTAACCTTAAATTCTTGTGACATTAGTGTTGAGTTTAGAATTGCGATAACAATCGGTATGATAGAAAACGAGTGTTTCGTTCGAGTCTCTTTTTATTATTAATAACACTGCGTACAGTACCGAGTTCCACTTCACCTCGTTAAAAACATTTTACTGCAATATCGTATGTACATCTTCACAAGTTAAAGCAAATTTTTCAATGTAACAGCTTCATGACATATCCAGCATTTTTCCAAGGCACAATTTCGACTCACGAGAGAACTGTTACAATTGTAGAAACGGATGGTTTAAACAGAACGTTATTCTCACTTTTCGAGAAATACACAATATAAATTAAACCACGCACAATCCATTATTTATATTCGTCGTATGCATTATTATGCTTCCATAGCATTCCAAAAAGCGGGAAATTCATGGGATTCGTTGTAAACACCAATCACATCGCAAGTGTTCTGTGCTGTGCAGAAAACATTTTACTATTGGCTGGTAACTACAATGTTGTTCTATGTACAGTAGTGGAATCTATTCCCTGCACATCTCTAGGCCGCAGCTTGAACCGTTAGCAAGGATCGGTGTAGAAGTTTTCTTTGCCCTGACTGGCTGACGAAAAGTAAAGAGTGTAGGAGTAGGTCTCATTATTCTACATAAATAGGTTCGTTTTCCCTAATTATTGTGAATTCACCTTCATGTGTATGTATCATCGACGGTGAAGGCAAGCATTCATCGAAGGGGCGAGCCACACTAGTCACTACATACAGAGTATGTAATATATGTAATGTGATACACGTAAAGCGGTCTGATATCCGAGAGCTCTGCTTGCTATCAATTGTACATATATGTACATTAATGCTGTTATCTCTGCGTCCCATACAATTAAATATTTACATTGTATTAAAATCATGGACCTTGATACATACACATATGTACGTAACCATACAATATAACAAGTGGACGAAGCGAGTGCGAAACGCATGATCGGGGTACGATTGTGCCGAATGCAGACAAACACCGGTGTGAACAGTTGGTTTCCCGGTTTCTCCCTGTGGACAGTGGACAAACTATTGAACGCTATTAATCAATGGAGAAATACAAGTGTATTTGAACGGAGCAAAATAGTTATAGGAAAAGGGAAAGAGAAGAAAATAAAACAGATGAAAATGCAAAATTCTGTACTTCTTATGTTAGGCAATTTTATACGTCCATACACAACTACGAATGCGTTTGGTAGAAAACTCTTTCAAAGATATTATGTGCAACAAATTCTCCATAAACATTCGGAAATAGATACACACCCTTACAAACAAATACATCCCTGGAGATCGTTAACTGAATTTTCAAACGATCTAGTTCGTAATGTTATTTATAACAATGGTAGGTCTACGACAAACTGAAGGAAAACTGCAATGCCATTACATAAATTTGTTTTACAGATGGATTAGTGGCCCTGAATAAACCTTATGGCATACCTCATACGAGAACGGAAGTGAAAAGAGCTAAACATTTCATACCAAATGCTGTAGAATATACATTACACGATGCTTTACCATACATTGCCGAGAAATTAAATTATCCTAAGCTAATTGTAGTCAGAAAACCAGAGAAGTAAGCAGAAATCGATTGGTAGAGGGAGAAAAAAGATTATAAATGCTATCAGCTTTTCTTTAGCAATACTTTATTTTCTATAATACAGGAAATTTCTCTTCTTTTCTTTATAATAGATACATGACCGGTGTCACACTTTTAGCTGCAAATCCACAAGTCGAGAGTAAGATAGAACTTTCTTTACGCCGTGGTAATAACTTTACAAAAAATTATTGGGCAGTTACGACCAGCTTACCAAATCGATTAATGGGGAAAGAAAGATTGGCACTGAAATCGGTTTCGAATCCACAGAATAATAATAAAAAGGTAAATTTATCAATCGATAATCACTTTTCTTGTAGTACCAGCATTTCATTCGTTTATTCTTTTTAGCCGGTACTAATTACATCATGGTCAAACAATTCGCATAAAAGAGGAGATATTAAAATTCTCAATTTTGACTTCAAAGTTTTGACCTCTTCTACATCTAACTCATGCTCCTTGCTTCAAATAAGAGCATCCTCTAATAAACAACACGCGATTAGACTCTTCGCAGCAACATTTCTATATGCTCCAATTTTAGGAGATAACGTATATGGATCACGCATCCAGCAGATTGGAAATGTTTATGTTCGAGTCAACCCTTTTCTAGAGCGCGCCGATTCGCCACCAGTGTTGGACAAAACCATCTGCAGGTTGTTGGCTGTGCAATCAGACCAAGAGCATATCGTTCCTAGTCATATTCATTTACAGTCCATAAATTTAATATCCTACAACAAGAATGAAGATTTAAAGATCGATGCCCCATTAATACCGCCATTAGATTGGACGTGCAATCAGCTCGGATTGAAATATTCGCTAAAGAATGAATAGAATTCTTCTTCATGAATAAAACAAGATTGTCATTTCTATGAATCAGCGTATTATTTTATGCTTTCTTTTTCTTTTTTTTATTGAACATGATATATCCAGAGTAATTTGGACGTGGTACATGATTTGCCATTCTATAATCCTTAGTGACTAAGTACATGTCTGCCTTTCAATATTCTTCTCATAAGGATTCTTCTACCACTAGGTGTTGCCATTCTGGCGTACCATCCGTGACGTTTTATGCGGCGACGTTCATTGGGACGAGGAAAGTGATATCGCATACTTGTCCTATTCAATGTTAGACTCCATAGATTTGTCACCGCTGGTGAACCAAGTTGACCCGGCGATATGAGTCGCCTACATATAAATATAACCTTTTACAGATATCTACGGTATAATCTTAGCTTGAATAATACATCGACGAATCAATTACATACGGAAGAATTTGGTAAACAGTAGAACATAATCTATTCAGCATATTGTACCAATATAACGATTAATCCTATAATATCAAAGGAAATTACTCTTTCTTTTTGGAAAGTAACTCGTAAAACGAGGCCAACTACACTTGGTTACACTCCTCGCGAACGATACGCTACACTTACACTGCTACACACTAGCAGGGGCAACCGAGGTATCTCTTGCCATGAACATTCCCAAGTTTTGTTAACGGTTCTGTACACGTAGCGCCAATCTACATAAATATGTAGGTAATGTATTTAACGGCAAGAATTTCAACCGGGAGCGTTTGTTGGTTGGCCACTATGTGAAATGGTGCTATTTTCAGATTCTCTATGAAGAATTTATCCCTTTTATCCCTACCATTTTAGAAGCTATGGCCCAGAGTGGTGCACATACATGTACGGTATGTAGGTAGGTTACATCAGTTACAATACAATGTATGCACATAAATATAAGCGAAGCAAATCATTCCGCATTCGTAGCTTTCATACCATAGATATGTATATCCAATGATCTGTATTACAGTAATAAGACCTACTCCTGCATACTTTTCTTACTCCCTAAGCTGGCGCGCATATCCCCACCATTTTACTGCGCATCCAATCCGCAGTGGATTCTGTCTCAGCGATGAATTATCAGCCAATTAGAGCAAAGAGAATTTTTACATCGACCCTCGCTAATGGATCAAGCTGCGGCCTTGAGGTGTAGGACCCATTACTGTATAAAAGTTGCATATGTACTTATCAGTGTAAATATTTCAACTGAATGAATATAAAATAATAAACAGTAAGTCACGATGACTGATATGACAGTGTGTGTAAAAATTAATGAAAATAATGAGTGTATTTATGAAGATAATAGCAGCGTCGAACTGAATGAAAATAATTTGAGCGTATTAATTTCGTGTTTTAAACAAACTCAGATAAAAATTAATCATTTCTTGACTAACTTAATAGAAAAACAAGACAGTTCCGTCAATGCCGAAAGTAAATAAATCTAGAAGTGATATGCTCGTCTAATAGATTTGTTCGTGAAAACTAATAAATTTTTATCAATTTTAGATCGGCTAACATCGGAAAGCGAGTCGGATTTTGAAGAGGAGATCGAAGTTAACCCTAAGAAATGCAAATTGATCGATTAACAGTATATCATAATTGTTTATTGCATTTGTTGTTGTAGATTTTTTTGTATGGCACTTGAAAATAGTACACAGTAGTTCGTTTTCATACGATGTGATGGATTTGTCGTTGCAACCGTGTTAACAAGTATCTTGCCCTGCAAGTTTTGTGATGCTGGAAAGCGATAAATCGATTATAAGAGAACGAAAGTTACATCACCGGTAAAGGAAAACGTGACCGGTAAACAATCGTTTCTTTTACAGCATAATTTTGACGAAGTGAAAAATTTTCTGTTTCATGTAGTTTAATATGTCACAATTATGAATTATTGAAAAATTGTTTCATGTCTATGAGTTTCTAATAATACTTCACTATTTATTTTTTCTTGTTTGTTTTGATTTGTTAATTTTTATCTTATAAAATTTCTGCTAATCGTCAATTTTGTGCTAAATATAATATTTCATAGTTAATTAATTACTAATTAATTATTTATGCATTATACTAAATAATTGACTACTGTTCTTTCTTTTTTTAAAAGATAAAGTATGTCTGCTCTGCTATCAAATGAGGCTCAGTTGCGCTATGTAATAGAATGGTTTCAAGAATGGTCAGAAATGCAAAGAAGTGATTTTTTAAGTATACTTCTGGAACAGTGCGGGCCTGCTGGTCTTGTGAATGGATTAGTCCCCAGAATGGAAACTCTAGGATGTGCTGAAGGATCCGACAGACCTCCGAGTATATTTCAATGTAGAGTGAAACTGTTTCGAGAATGGAGCAATAACTGGTCTCAACANGTAATGTATTTAACGGCAAGAATTTCAACCGGGAGCGTTTGTTGGTTGGCCACTATGTGAAATGGTGCTATTTTCAGATTCTCTATGAAGAATTTATCCCTTTTATCCCTACCATTTTAGAAGCTATGGCCCAGAGTGGTGCACATACATGTACGGTATGTAGGTAGGTTACATCAGTTACAATACAATGTATGCACATAAATATAAGCGAAGCAAATCATTCCGCATTCGTAGCTTTCATACCATAGATATGTATATCCAATGATCTGTATTACAGTAATAAGACCTACTCCTGCATACTTTTCTTACTCCCTAAGCTGGCGCGCATATCCCCACCATTTTACTGCGCTTCCAATCCGCAGTGGATCCTGTCTCAGCAGTGAATCGTCAACCTATTAGAGTAAAGAAAATTTCTGCATAGAATTTCGCAGAAGTAGGTCCTATTATTGCATTTCCATATAAAAACGACTTTTTCTCAATTTTATAGTTGCAGTAGATTGCTCTTAATATTCTTGTATCTCTTAAAATATTTGTTATTGTTTCATAGTTTCATTTTATTCCATTCCATTCCATTCCATTCTATTCCATTCCATTCTATTCTATTCTATTCTATTCTATTTTATGTTATTTTATGTTATTATTTTATTTTGTTTTATTTTTTTTTTTATTTTTGCCTCTATATGTTTTTCACATAAATGAATTTTGTGAACCACACATGTTTACAAATCATGAGTATTAATTTTTTCTTTCTTTATTAGATAGAAAGCTTTAGGGCAAGTCTAGCCCATTAGCTGAAAAATTTTGTATCAAATTGCATATATGTAAAACAGATGCATCTGTATGTGTGTGTTCTATGCTGCATGTATGTATGAAGATATATGCGTACCTACATACATACATACATACATACATAGAATAAAATGATGACAGTCAGCTGTAGTCGTTGTCAGCCCAGTTTTATACACAATTTGAACCAAATCGAAAAGCTATAGTTACACACTATTCAAGTATCAAATTCAAGATTACTTGATAACAATACTACGCTAATATCAATCGTTTTAAGGAGATAAGGTAAGAACAACATAAAGTTTTATGTAAAGTACATATTACATAGTATGTATTTCTATTTGATCACATGAGTTATGTTCTTTCCATGTTACTTTTTGTGATATTATCGTCATTATCGAATAAGAAGGAATACATTTAATTTGATGTAAGCTTTCAAATATTTACATGTACTCCAAAAAGTATACATTACCAGTCTAATGGATATCAATAGGCAATATCTAAAATCGTAATGTATGTCTTTCAGATCAGACTGTACACATTACAATTGTAAAATGGTCTGCATACCTTGTGTGGCTATTCCTATATTACTTGTGATATGGGGGTTTTTGGTACAACCAATATTAAAATGGTGGCAAAGTAGAAACAAAAAGAATGTATCTCCGGATGAGCAGCCTTCGCAGTTAGTGAAAGAATGCACGAATGGTGTGTGTACATTATCCTGGAAGAAAAACCAATCTAATAAAAAGATCGATTGAAGATGGTTAATATAAATTTCAATAAGCATTTATCGTTCTGCGTACGATACGCATGTAATTCTAACTTATGTAATAATATTTATTACAATTATCTGTATAATATGTAATATTAATCGTAGTTTACGCATATTTACTCCACTTAATTCAATCGATAATGTAATAGAATTAGAAGAATCCTTCGTTATCAAATTGTATATGTATCTACTTGGTTTATCTAAATCAATTGTTACTTGAATGTCAATTAATGCAAGGCATAGAACATTATTAATAAATATGAACTTTTATTCAGGACTTTCAATACGTTATGTTTTTATACATCCATAATAAGATTGCGAGTTCTAGTTAATTGCTCTTATCGAGCAAAACCTTATTATTCAATTTCAAAAGGGTTTTGACATTTATTACTGAATTACGTGCAAACATACTTGTAAACGCTATTTATTAATTCAATGCTTAACAAATCATTTCAGAATTGTTGAATGTTTTCAGAAATTGTATGTATAATCATAATTAATAATCCGTTACGCTATGTTCAAATACATTCGTACATCACACTTGAACTATATAAGAATCTAAATGTGATATTGTATAGTATAAAATATATTAAAAGTCGCAATATCTTCAAGTTGGATAATTAAAGAAGATGGTTGGATATTCCATCTCTGTTTCAAAATACATTATAGATTGCTCAACGAAACATCAAGCCGATAAAATATATGTAATTTTTAATGGACATTTCTAAGTTCAACTTCAAATACAAGTGTAGCGTTGCCTGGAATAACTGGAGGTGAACCCTTTGCACCATAACTGCAACATACAATGAAACAACGTCAATTAGAAATAACGTATATGCACATATTAATTAATATTACAATGAAGTTCGTCAAGCAAGTTTCACTTAAAAGATTCTAAAAGAAATACATACGCCATAGTTGGTGGTATCGTAATACGTCGTTTCCCTCCAATTTTCATTCCTGCGATACCAACGTCCCATCCTTTGATTACTTCACCCTTTCCCAATTTAAATTTAAAACCTTCTCCTTGCGTCGTTGAGTCGAATTTCTTTCCATTCTTCAATCGACCCACGTAGTATACAGATACAAATCTTCCAGCTTTTGCCAGCGTACCACTACCTAGTTTCAACTCTTCTATTTGTACTCCACCTTCGACTAGCCTTTTCTTCGGATTACTTTGAGCATTTTGTTCATTCGATTGCTGTTGTTTTCCCTTATTTTTCTTCTGTTTATTTGGCTGATCCAATTTCGTATCTTTGCCATTTACTAATTTATTTATATCTTCCTTCTTCTTTTCTTGTTGCTTATTCTTTTTATCCTTTTGATGAGGCCTTAACTTGTTTTGTTCGTCTTCTTGTTCCTCTTCATTGTCATCTCCACTTTCGTCACTGTTTTCTCCTTCCTCCTGATTTACTTTAGAATCTTCGCCCTCTCTGTCCGAACCATCAGAATCGCTACCATCCAAATCTATTTCTTCATCTCCCGAACATTCTGTCTCTATCACTTGTTTAAATCGCTTAGCATTATTCTCGTTCTTCAATGATTCTGTAGCTTTCCTCTTAGATTTTTTATCAACCAATTGTGGTACTTCTTCTTCCTCTTCTTCATCTTCCAGTTCATCTAAATCCATGTCATCGTCGGATATCACATAACCGGTTAAATGCACATGACCTTGACCGTTACATGTGAACGCAATTTTAGTCCCTTCTTGAAAATTTAAATCGAGTGGTACTTGCCACGTCGAGCCTTTTTTTAAACTGCAAAGTAAATAGTTCCTATTGTCGTAACCTAACATTACTTGCACCAAATTCTCATCTGCAACAAGTCAAATATTATGATAAATAAGTTGAAAATATCAAATCTAACGAAATATGTAGACTATAGAAAGATAATAAACGTGAATGTAACTGTTATCGCATGCGGACATTAATGCCTAAAGTATAATACTACATGTTACATATTATAATTTATAGGGACGCGTGACATGTTCTATAAGGGTTAAATTCAACTTAAATGAAACTAGTAATTATCATTATGATTATTACGGCTAGATATCTATCAAGTAGATTGCAGGCTTTAGACACTGTTTATAGAATCTAGAGAAATGTAGGAACACTGATAATTATGTTATTAGACGTATTAATATTATAATATTAGACATTAAAACAAAAATAGGGAAATACGACAATTGTAGTTCTTTTCGATATAAGAGCAGGTACCACGAAAGTCTTACCGGCCGCTGTGAGGTCTAAACTCGCCATCGACACGTGGAATGATTTTTCGACGACTTGCGTATACCGTTTGTTCGGTTCCATTATTAAGCCTAAAAATGGTAATTAGAACATTAATATTATTCCTACAATATCGTTCTATTTGACAATTTTTCAAAAAACACATGCAATTGGTTTTCACAACCACATGGCGACGCCATCCTGAAACAATTCTTTGCCGGCAAATTTTAGATAGATAAATCATTTGTGTTTAGAATGAATGATTTGCTTACCCCAGAACATTTTGGCTGTTATAATTATCTAGGTTCTGCCCAAATGAAAACAAGTATTAACAAGATCTAAAATCTATAAACTCGTAGAGGCAGGGATATATGTGACACGAGGTTTTGTCTAACGAACAATACAAATCAGGTACCCCTTACTGTCTCGCGCCAACTCGCTCGCAATGAATAACCATCCTATGTGTGTGTGTACTTAGAAATCTGTAGCCTGCTATGCTTGTGTTCGTATGACACCGCCGACATCTACACTGACTACGCTTCGCAGAGAGCTTTCCCTCTAAGCAGACGCTTCTATCGCCACCATTTTACTGTGTCACCAATCCGCAGTGAATCCTGTCTTCACATTGAATCGTCAGCCAATCAGAGCAAAGCAATTTCTGTCTCCATCTTCGACTGCTTGGCAAATTGTCGTACAGAGCAGAGCTTTCACAAGCCTGACCACTGTACGACTTTTTTCCTGGAAAGTAGGAGTGGGAGAATTACCAATGGGATTACATGAAGCCAATGGATTTCCATTGGCAAACCATTGGAATCGTTCAATCCCACTTGCGAGGTCTTCTCTTCGCCACTTGGAACGATTTCCGAGCAGAATCCCTGACACCATTGGATACACTACACACCAATGGACACACTGGCCTTGAGTGGAAATTCCAAGGTTATTACCAGGAGTCTGAGAGCTCTGGTCCAAAGTTGTGTCGTGCAATTGTTGTATAAAAGTCAATTTTCATCACAAATTATATTTACTTTACATACATTCGATTACACTAGCACCCCAAAGATTTGTTTCCCAACAAATCTCTAGAGGGCAGCAACCTGGAAATCTTTTTGCTGGAGTAAGTCTCATTACTATATGTATGTATATGCTCTAAAGACAGAGCATAGGCTCTTACGCCTGACCGCTGTGCGACTTTCTTCCAGGAAAGTAGGAGCAGAAGAGCTACCCATCACAAATGGGATTGGATTGGCAATGGGAATGAATTTCCATTGGTAATCCATTTTGGAATCGTCCAATCCCATTTTTGAAGTCTTCTCTCTGCAACTTGGAGCAGATTTTGAGCAGAATCCCTGACGCCAATCCTCGGACACACTAGACGCTAAGGTCTGCTCTAAGGTCTAATATAGATTTTTCATGAGCAGGCACGTATAATAAAAAATTGTAATAAAATAAAAAATTTTTTTGTGAGGTTAAATAGCACGTGTCTTATTTTCGTCGGGCAGTCATCAATTCCTAGTTCTCAGAGTTCCAGTATAGGGTGAAGAGAATATGTACAAATGTACTGTGAGAATTCGCCACATATGGAGAGAGATATCGATCCTAGCTACCAACTATGTTGTCTATCTTGTACATACTATAGGCTACGTATTCTATGACCTGTACCAGTGGGGTGGATAGTGGATTTGATGATTTGTTGTCGAATTCAGAATACATACTTACACGATAAATTATTCTTGTAACGTTTGTTTTAAAAGTCATCAAAATGATGATGGATTACTTTGTCACGAACAATTCTTTAGCACCTGCACCTATGGGAATCCAGAGTACTGCTGGTGCTGTACCCGTAAAAAATGACAAAGGTTAGATCCAAATGTCAGATAAAAAATCTTTACATTATATTTGCAGTATTTCATGCATGACAGCGATTAACAAACAATTTATCAGAGTCGTTTCTGTTTGTATATAAGATTTTTATGAAAATGCACTTATGAAAATTCTGTGTGACATTGTTGTCTTGTTATAGGAGAGCTATCCATGAAGAAAGTAAAGGTACATCGTTACGTTTCTGGAAAACGTCCAGATTATGCGCCAGCTGCTAGTTCTGAAGAAGAATCCGAAGATGAAGATTTTTTAGAAAGACGAGCACATAAACATTACGAGGAAAATGAAATATCTATGGATACTCCTGCACAGTCACAAGTTAGGATACGCGATGAGGATGACCCACGTATAAGGAGATTAATACGCTTAGAAAGACAAAAAGAATCTAATACAGAAGCTTGTACAGAAAGGCACAGACATATTTATGAACCAGAATTAATCGAAGTTGAACCCGAAAGAACTCGTGAAAGAATCAAGCTGGAGAGTTCCGATTCATCGGAAGACGAAGAGTTATCAGATTCTGAGATTGAAAGAAGACGCGAAGCACTGAAACAGCGAGTATTATCTAAAAAGGAAAACGAAGAAGAACTAATTCATGGCGAGGAGGATGAACGATCCGGCGACAGTTCGGACGAGAGTTCAGAATATGAAGAGTACACCGATTCCGAGGAAGAAACTGGACCAAGATTGAAACCAGTTTTCGTACGTAAAAAGGATAGAATTACAGTAATGGAGAAAGAAAAGGAAGCAATGAAACAAAAACAGGCAGAAATCGAGGCCAAGAAGATGGTAGAAGAACGAAAACGGCAGACTTTAAGAGTAAAATTTTCTTTTTCTAGCGAACGGATTAGTATTTATATAGACATTTTTCTATAATAATATCCTTGGTTTACTTCTCTTAGATGGTGGAAGAAGCGATAAGGAAAGAAACGCAGGTTGGTAAAAACAATAATGAGCAAGAAGGAAGACTCGAAGATGTATGTACAGACGATGAAAACGACGAGGTCGAATACGAAGCTTGGAAATTGAGAGAGCTAAAGAGGATTAAACGCGATCGAGAAGAAAGAGAACAGTACGTATTATTTAAGCATATTAAGTGCTGTTTTGCTTTTGAACTGTGCATTATCCAGTTTTTAATCGTTGGGTGGGATCGATGTGTCTTCCTGGAAACAAGCTTGACTAACGATGAGCCATTCTAGTTCTATTTTGTACAATAATTTCGTTTTCAGGCTTGAAAAGGAACGTCTCGAGATAGAACGTATACGGAATATGACGGAAGAAGAACGAAGACAAGAGGCTCGCCTAAATCCAAAAGTTATTACCAATAAGGCCGCTAAAGGAAAATACAAGTTTTTGCAGAAATATTACCATCGCGGAGCCTTCTACTTGGACAAAGAGGATAACATATTCAAACGAGATTTCTCTGGTGCAACATTGGAAGACCACTTTGACAAAACAATTTTGCCCAAAGTTATGCAAGTGAAGAACTTTGGTCGCAGCGGTAGAACCAAGTATACTCACTTGGTTGATCAAGACACTACTCAGTTTGATTCGCCGTGGATCTCGGAAACAGCACAAAATCTGAAATTCCATAATAACCAAGCAGCAGGAATGAAACAAATATTTGATCGGCCGTCATTAAAAAAGCGAAAAAATGAAAACTAATAAGCATGGTAGAAATTTATAACGTTCATAACAATATTTAAGTATACAATTTCTTGGAAATTGTTAATTTAATATATTATAAATACATGCTTGTGGGCACATACTTAGGTTTTTGTACGTAACAAATATTTTAAAGCTAGTTTCGCGGCAGCTCGTTTGGCTTCTTTCTTGTTTATACCAAATCCATGAAAACGCTTAAATTGTCCAGCAATAATTACTTTTAATGGCACCATAACAGAACTTGTACCAACAATAGGAACTGCAGATCTGAAGAAAAAAAAAAAAGACAAACAGAATATCCATTATATAATTACGATGATAATGCATCTTGATAGTACGTCACAGATGATCTTTTTAATGTCAATAAAATTGGAATACCGTATATGATAAAGTACTAAAATTTGTTTGTCACTTACAAAAATTGCGGTCTCGCACCCTCAGTTTCATATAATACACGGACCGGTTGTTTAGGTATATTGTTACTAAATTCATCTATAAAAAGAGAAAGATAATGTTTGCAACGTATGTTTTCATTACATTATTGCGTTTTCTGTAAAAAGCTTACCAATCTCCTTGTGCATGAGAGAATAAAGTATTTCCCATACTTTTTTTAGGTTTTTCTTACAATCGAGATATATCGCTCCAATTGCAGACTCAAATAAATCTCCTAAAACTTTCGGTACATCTACAGATTCGACCATTTTGCATTCATCTTCTTCCAGTAAAATCCATAAAAGCTGTAAAAATGAATTCTCGAAAATATAGGTAATTTGTTGTGATTTCAACAACTCTACGTCGAAGAGTTTTTATTTTTAGTGAAATAAAATACGGTACCTCGTCGTTTACAACGTGATTTCTTTCTTCTTGAAATTTAACAAAACGATCTATGGAAACGATTAATTGCGGCGCATAAGCTAATAATGCGGTGTGCAAACCATATCGTACGGACAAACACGCAAATGTAATATTGTTGACAAGGGCGGATCTTAAATCTGTTAAAGCGCCAGGATTTAAATTTCCGCAGTATTCATAAATATAGGATGTAATCAAGAAATCTAGAACACGAACAAAATTTTTTTTGACAAACAATTATTTTTCACATTACAATACAGACTTGTAAAGATTACTGAAATTTTTGCAACGATTCCGTACCGATAACAGCATCACCAAGAAATTCAAGTCTTTGGTAACATTCGATCGTAGTGTTTGGACTGTAAGAGGAATGCGTAAAAGCCTAAAATATTTATTTCACGTAAATGATCATTACCACAGTTAATAAATTTTCACTGTTCACATTTGTATACTTGAAATTACGTTAAAGTTTAAACGTACCTGCAATAGAAAAGCTCGATTTTTAAATTTGTAACCAAGTCTTTCCTCTATATCAGAGGCCCAGGGCATCAAATAATCTATATTTCCTTGAGAAATAATCTGATTCTCGTGGACGTTCAACAAAAGTGCATCAATATTGATTACTTGCTTCGGTAAGATTTCAAACCATGTCAATAGCTTGATTGCAGCTTTAATACCCATGTTCTGTTAAAATGTGTAATTACGGAATAAAATTCATGCGAATAAATCACTTGCAACTCAACTCATTCACGTAATACGACGATCATTGGGTTAAGCGTTTTATAGAAAAGAAGCAGTATTATATTTATATACTTACTACAAGATAAACACCTATTAATGCTTCTACACAGTCGGCTACTGTTTTATCGGGAAGTGTTTGCATTCCAAGATAATGCTCCATACCAGTTTGCGTTTCAGCCGATTCCCAATTTGAAACCTTGGTTTCTATCGCATTTTTGGTAAATTCGCTAATACATCCACTAAATTGTTCCTTTTCAGGGACTTGGATTTCATACAAAACATTTGGAGATACCTTTCGTGAATATATTTCAATGTATTACACGCTATTGTTACCTTGGGAATATTAGAGCTGCAATAAAATAATGTTTAAATAATAAATTAACGAACCTCCGCATCTAGTAACACTTCTTGAAGCTGCCTGAATACTGAATAAGTTGGAGCAATGAAATTACTCAATGGCACAAACTCGTCTACTTTCATACGTCCAGGAATGCTCTTCTTTTTCCCGCAATAGTAAAGATTACGATTACCAATTATTTTGCTCTTGACAGTCGTTAGCGTTCCTTCGCCACAATTTGGAAACGTATCATACAGAAATAAAGATGTAACAAATTTCAGGTATGAATCTCCTAAAGTTTCCAATCGTTCCAAGTCGAATGCATCACGTCCAATCTTACTTGTAAGTGCCTGTAATAGAAATCACAGTTGTAGAAAATGTTACTGCGTAGCGTATTGTAAAAAGAAAAAAAAAACAAGAAAAAAGTAGAAAAAGAGAAAGAGAAAGAAAAGAAAGCTTTCAAGTATACTCACATGCATGATCTCCACAGGGTTGGGACTCTCTGAATTTTCGATCGATAACACCTTTAATTCACGTATCGGAACCGACGAATTATTCATAAACTTTACTTTTTTACTTCTCTGCAAAAAAACCAATTCAATTTCATTTTAAATAAAATGTTATTCACTGATTGTAAAACATACATCGGATGTTTTCTATTTAATAATTATAGATGGATAGATAGCAAAAAAGGTCTACCATTTCGTTATAATTTATGTCACAACCGCTAAGCATAAATTGATAATGATGCTCGATATCAATCAATCGGATGTCTTCGATCCTTCTGCACAAATCTGGTGGTTCTTGATTTTCTGTCCACGGATAGTTATATATATCTGTATTCAATACTAAAATAAATGAAATAAAGCTGTAAAATTTAATGAAACGCAAACATGGTGAAAAACGCAAAATATGGTTAAGAATTGAGCGTGTACCATCTATTTCCGGGCTGGCTACTAGTACAGGCTCTGGCTGCGAGGAATTTTGAATGCTTTCATCGATAGAAATTTTTGTTACAGAATCGTGAAAATCTTCTATATCTTCTTCTTTTATTACCAACGGAGGCCACTGACTAACGTCATCTACCGATTCGAAGCCAGCTTCGTTGACGATAACGCGTCGTAAGTCTTCAGCAATTAAAAGCTGTGAGATTCTATGTAACACAGAAGGTAGCATTGTTGCTTTTAGCCAATATAAAGCTGGAAATTTAATTATCTTGCATAATTCTGGGACTAGGTGCTCTTTCAAGACATCGTTGGTTTCCATGCGCTTGCGATACTTTGATTCAGATTGCATTGTCCTGTTCAGAATGAAGAAAAATTAGTTACCGATCGAAATCCGTTTAAATTCTGAACGAAGCAACTCACTCGATTACCTAGGCTTTATGCAATTAATTTGTTTCGATATCATTTTTGCCTCCAACATCGGTTGACTTAAATTATTTATCGTCAACCCGTGTTTACGTTTATAATAATGGACATACGAATAAAAATTGTCCGTTGGAAAACACGAATTCGGAGTAAGATCCTCGCAAACCTGTGTAACTACATACACTTCTTGGGCTGCTCTATAGGTCGGCATGACTAACGACAGCTCATGATAATTGTCAGGCTGAAATTCAAAAGGAGCTGGTGGTGGTACACTTTGTATCTGTTGATGTTGTTGTATGGCCTCCCAATTTATTTCCCACTTTTCATTCACTGGAAAACAATCGTCGATTCGTGTTTATCTATACATATATGTATATGTATATAAGCGAAATTAAATTCTTTCTCCTTCTTCATGTTTGTACTATTAAAAATTTACCTGGCACGATTAAAAAGCAATTGTCACGATTGTAATTGTCGAATATCATAAATGACTTGATAATTGGGACAACCCGACTGAATATCAAACTATGGAAGACTTTTATGGAACTTATTTCTGTCGCAGACAAATTCATGGTCGCATAATTGACTTTAACGTCAACTTGTAGTTCTCCAACATTCATAAAAATTGGAAAAGATGGTATCTGTGTGACAGAATAATAACTATTAATGAAGCAGATGCAGATGATATTATTATTATATTAACGATGCAATATTATTAGCACGCTATCAAATAATGTTTTGCAAAGGCAGAATTAATGCGTAAATACGCGCATATATACAATATATTACCAAAGGCATTTGTTTTGAAGAAAGTATTCCAAAGCCTGCTTTGTCGCATAGTAAATTATAAAAAACCAGATATCGATTATCATAATGTGGTGCCGGATATGTGGGTCTAGCATGAAGTAAATGAAGATAGACTGGTTTAGACGGCAAAGGATATGCACCATATAGGGCCGATGGAAACTGTAAAGAGTACGAAAAATCTACATATTATAAGTAGAAAATATACAAAAGGAACATATATATATAAACTTGGAGTTACGTTTGAAAAACAACAAAGTGCAATTCGTTTAGATTTTATCTTTACCTGTAACTCATGAGATCGTTTCTTTTTCTTTGTTCCGATTACTTCTAGCTCTGTTTTGTTCTCTTCCACCCAATTTGGGAATAAATAATTTGTATTTTCTGGAATAAAATCAACCTCCCGTGGTAATAAATTGTCATTTAATTCACCAAATTTATGTAATTCTATACACATCTTCAGAGCAGCAGATCTCTTTGCAGTAGTAACTGTAGACTGAAAATCTCCAACTACCGTATTCTTGTAAGGCGATACGATCGGTAATTTAAGCGAAACCTAAAGATTATAATTTTAGTATTATAATAAAGAAACAATTGTCGAAATAGAAACAAAATATAACTTGGAAGAAAGCATTTGAACAAAATTAGTTACTCTATATTTTGTCTTTTCTCATACCTGATACGATTTACATTGTTCTTGGTTCACGATTTTCTCAGTTTCAATCAATCTCCAAACAGGGGTTAAACAGACAAATTTAGAAGTGTTTAATTTAGAACAGTACATGTTTATGAGACTAATCGCTGATGCTCCGTGTAGAACGCATTTATGTCCATCACGGTTCGTAACAATATACGGTTCTACGTCGCGTGCATATAACGTATCTTCTATTTCATTTTCTGTTGGTCCCTCGCGACCTTGAGTTTTACCTAATAACAGCTACATCCAAAAAACATGATTAACTTTGACGCGAAAATTGACGAACTACCGACGAGAAAATGAATTCAAAAAGAAACAATTGCCAAGTACCTCTTGCAAATGCGAGTCGATCTTTTTAAAATTTTTAAATCGTTTCAAATAATTGGTATCATCCTGTTCTATTAATAATGTAAATTGACTGGTATTGTATCGTGCTCTACCTTTGCTTTGTATGTAAGCTCTAATATTCATTGGCAAATGGAATCTAATAATCAATGTACAAGATGGTACGTCGATACCCTCGTCAACAACTTCTGTTGCAATTAAACAATTTGAGGTGCCATTATTGAATCTAAATATGATTAAAATTTCATTAAAAATTCGAAAGCACAAGATAAACAAAATCAACGATGTAAGAGTTAAATATGCATATGTTTCTTAACATACGATGAAATCATACCTGCATAAAACTTCTTTATTCCATTTAGACATACATAAGTTTTCCTTGGAATTCTTGAAAGGATCGAGCGAGATGCCAATCACATAATCAGGTTGCAAAAATCTAAATTTTTCCTCGTGTGTGGACAAATTCTAAAATAGTAAAACTTGTACAGCAATTATAGTTGAATAATTTCATTGAAGTTGTAAGAAAATAAATCTGGTATATTACCTTTAGCAAATGGTACAACACTTTTGCTGTGAAACGTCTGTTTACAAATATAATGCAACAAAATTTCTGTTCAACTAACTTGCTTTCATAAAAGTCAAGTAATATCGCAAAAAGTTGTTGAACTTTATTGGACGTAAAGCTGTAATAATATAATATATGGTAGTCGATAATTGGCTTTGAACTATGTAATATAATTGTGGAAAATTCAGAATAAGTAGATAATAAGACGAGTGAAAGTAGAGCAAACTCACATCTTTAGTCTGTTTGCCACTGAAGTGTCTTTCATTTCTTCTTCTAATAATTTCCGAAATTTTGTGAATTCTGAGATGAGATATTCATAAACATAGCTAGTTTCCTAGACATATAATTTTGTAATAGAAACTTAAAAATTGAGAAATCTGTTTTTGTACGTTGGTTTACATATTTCTCTTTTTACGTACCACATCTTCGTTATGTTTCTTCAGACTTTCTAATTGTATCATATGAAGTAAGATACATTCGTACACTCCGTATACTCCTATAATATAAATAAAATTCTATAGCACATTCTTTGCAAATTATCATGCAAATTTTGTGTAGTTTTCTTTTGTTTTTTGTTTTAACATGACAGTACCTGTTTCAAGAAACTGATCCATAACACTGGTTAATAAGTTAGCCAGTTTTTCACTTACAGGTTTTGACCTGAAAATCTCGCTCGACTCAAGATTCTTTGAAGAAGACTCAAGCTCTATACACTTTAAGAATTCTGTCATCTCTTGGATTGTTTCCCAAATAAGTGTTCCAACATCGGGTAGTGTAAATTTCTTGAATTTAACAAACGTTTCGTTTGGCTGCGCATAACAATTTTTAACTTGCGACATAGAATTTACCGTAGCTATCTTTGCATGGAGCGTGATTTCCAAATTCTGCAATAGTCATATATCGGTTTAATTATTTAGATACGTATCGTGTAAAAAATCTTTGTTTTTTTTTTAATTTCAATTTGTATGTAAAAATAGTAAAATCAAACGAATTTACCCGAATAATTGACTCCACTTTATTTAGGTGTACATTAGCATTCAACAACGTAGCTGTCAGACCCAAAACTCTTGGTTGTTCTTCTACGGCGCAAGCTTTGAACAATTGCATAATTTGCCGCATGGGGTGATCGTTCACTGCGCTGTGACACTCATCTAATATCAACAGGTTTACTCGATTCAAAAACATAAAGCTGTGACATAACGCATCCAAAAAAATTTGAGACGTCATTATTAAAACCTACAATGCAAAGTAAATTTCATTTTATATTAACAATATTCACCGGGCAATGCTTAATACAGTAACTCGTGGGATTAATAATACCTGATGATTTTCCAACTCTGTATTCCATTCTTTATCGCTCCAATAATCAACTCCCTTCTCGCCATAGTATTCACCGCACGTTAATCCAGTTGTTCTTGCAATGTAATTAGATTGTTGCGTGACCAAAGGTACACTATTGACTAAAAATACAGTGTGTTTTCCACCTTCGGCGTATGGCCTATTATATAAATAAACATTAATTCTGTGTACAGCTTGTATCATACTATAGTACTCTGTCTAAGTTGGATACAATAAAATGTTTAATAAGTGTGTAATAGATAACCGGTAAGTATGTACCTCCGTATAGCGCTGCTTAATTGTCTAATTAGCATAACAGCAATAAAAGTTTTCCCGCAACCGGTTGGTAAATAAATAATTGTATTTTGTTGAAGAGCAATTTCATATAAGTCAATTTGATAAGTTCTAGGGGTAAATTCATTTGTACAGTTTTCCATTATATTAGATTCCATTATCTAAGAATAATATATGTTTACATTAATAAAAAATATTATCGGAACGATTATACAGAGAATAAGAGAAAGAGTAATAACAGATGACTCATCTATTGACTCAATTATAGTTTGGTGCGTACAACTTGTGCTTGAAATGTGAATATTAATTAGATCAAAAAGCTGTAAGCTTTGTCGAGTAGCGGACTCAAAACCAAGCGACGACGTCGTGTTCAAACAGTAGAAATGGTGACGGTTATCACACACACAACTCTTATTGACCGGGGCGTAGTAGTCTTTCTGTTATGTTTGTCGTTAAATAAATGGCAATGAATATATATATACATATCAACACATGAAATTGTACGCACTAAACTAGGATCAACAAGGGATTAATGGTACGTACGTACGTGACGCAGAAACAACAACGTGCCCATAGAAACAAATGTACAATATAAAACAGCCGAAATCAGCGTTACCATGGATTCATTGAAAGTGTCACGTGATTCAGTCCGTGAGCAGTGACATCAAGGATGAGCAGTATGGCTCCTCTCTAGACCTGCACAGAGTCCAAACCGCAGTTTGATCCGTTAGCGAGGGTCAACATAAACATTTTCTTTGCTTCGATTGGCTGACGATTCTCTGTTTTGACAGGATCCACTGCAGATTGGAAGAGAGCAGTATAAAGTGTGCGTGAGTGCGCGCCAGCTTAGGAAGTAAGAAAAGCGTGCGGAAGTAGGTCTCATTACTGTGTATTATATGTATATTATATGAATAATATATATACATATATTATACATATATTATACATATATATATATATATATATATATATATGTATAGAAATAAATGAATATCAACCATTTTTCACAAGCGAAGCTCAATTATTTTCATTTCCAAGTCAACACATTTCAAAAACGACACAAAATGTCCTATGCTTGAAATAATTTCTAATATATATTGCAAAGTAAAAGATAAAAGTTGTAAAATTCTTTAACAGGTTTTCAAGGGGCACGGTTGCAAGTACATATTATCAAATATTTCGAGATTTTATGAAAAAGTATTTATTTCAATACAGTGTATATCAAGGGCCTAGAGCGTAGCGGTCGCGCGTGACCTTGCGGATTCAACAGGTCCGCTATCTGCTGTACAGAGAGATTGCGTTGTATACATAAATGGTATTATCTAGAGACGGGTGTAGCTGTTTGATAAATACAAGAAGGAGCGTCAACGGTGTTTTCTATCGGAAATGAAAAAGAAACACAATTCAAATAGAAATGTATGTACTCTGTTCGGATCGGGAAATGCAATGACATTTTCTTTATAACTTTTGAATCATTGAACGTTCATTGATCCGTCCTTTAACGGAATTTTCGTGCTGCATCCGCCTATCTTTCTCCGGGACGAGTTACCTTTTCCTTTTATCCCTAAAAAACATTTATTGACGGGGAATCTGTGGCTCAGCGAGACAAATTGACAGTCCTTCAACGAACGACGTGCAATCGACAAAAGGTCACGTTCGTTAGGCTTTCAATTTCGTAGAGCCATAGCCTTCTTCCTTGCAATTTCTAAGTTTATGATTTTTCGAGCCATCTTCTTTCCGGCAATAAAGCCATTTCTGCACTTTTGAATAATGCACACCTTCGTCGGCAGCATTTTTTATGACAGGGTGGCTAGCACGCACCGCTTCGGTCGCTCGTCGTTTCTTGCTACCTGCGGCACTGCGTGCTACGTCACTTTACATCTCCTTCCATCGCGTCACTGGCCAACGAATTTCGAGTCTTCTGTCCACGAAACAGTATAAAAACTCGTAACAGTAAAAAAAGAAAACAGTAAAAAATTCTCTAGATCATCTTGTTAGTTCATCGTCATTTAGTCTTTAGTCATTCGTCGGTCATCGATTAGTCAGTCAGTGTCGGTTCAACTCAATTCATTCGAAAAGCCGACCACAATTAGTCACCCCAGTGTTAAAACCATTCTACATCAACCTATATCATCCGTATCACACGAAAGAGTCATACGGAATCGCGCGCAGACTCCGTAGATCTAGCAGTTTCACTGTTCGATCTCACCGCGAGAAAACGTGAAAAAACATTCATTGCAATGAATTTTTCACTAAAAATATTTAAAAAATAATCATCCTTAACTTTAGGTAATGAAATAGTTTTTACATTTGTTAAGCAACAATTTTTAATTAATTTAGCCTTGATATTTTCGATAAAAAGATCGTTTAAATATAATTTTACAAACTATCTTTATATCGTCATTACTTCGTAACGGAAGTAATTAGTAAGGTCGAACGTAGAAATTTATTTTTTAAGCACGAATTTTGAAGTACGAAGAACTTCTCCATAGGTAAGTCTGTAAGTCTGTAAGCAAACTGTACGATCATAAAGAAATTCCAGACTGTTATTTTAGCGGTTACGAGATTTATTTTTGAATGTTCCTATTGCGATTTCCTTATCGTCCGTAATCTCACTTGATACGTGACGGCAGCCATTACCGTCTGGGTATATATTCCGTCGAGTACAGATATACTTACCGACCATAGATACAATTAATAATTAACAATACAACAACAACGAGAAAACGAAAGAAAATAGCAATAACGAAACGACAACGATAATAATTCTCAACGAAAGAAAATACCACGGTGATTCGTTTGCTGCGTGTGTCGTTTGACACGAAAAGAAACAATTTCGAAAAATGTCGTCGCCTGCGAGGACTCTGAAACAACGAGGGCTCTCTCTCTCTCTCTTTCTCTCTCTCTCTCTCTCTCTCTCTCTCTCTCTCTCTCCCTCCCAAACACCTGGACTTTGTCCAGGTCTCCTTGAAACCTGGCTGCGTACAGCACGCACATGGGAAGGTTGGAATTTTCGCGTCCGAAAATTCTTTTCCATTATGTTACGGATCCGCTACAACACGCTCTCTTCGTTTCATTCGGGTTCGAGTCAGAAGAATCGGAATTGAAAGAGAGACGGTGGTATCCGTGGAAACAATGGCGTCCGTACCGTTCGCTCGGTTTCACGATTCGTTTCGTAGGTACGCAGTTATTATTATCCGAAGGAGATTACGGAATTTCGATTGGGACTTCCCGATGCGTCGAGAGAGGTCCGTCCGAGCATCGTGGGAATTGGCGAGAACACGAACAGCATCGCGAACTAAGAACCGAGGATGCCCTTGAAATTTCGTTTGAAATAACCGTTATCGATGCGAAACGTTGAACGTTGAACGTAT